TACGCCAGAACGACTGAACTAATCTCAACTAAATTTGGCACAGACATAGATTATAGTCTAGAATAGCATAGACTACTTTTTATCCCGGGCATAAAATGTACGGTTCCCGCGGGATAGGTTTGTTTTTATTTTTCTAGTAACGAACTCGACCAAAGCGAGGGTTAGCCGCTAGTGATTGAATAAAGAAAAAAATCTCTATAACACGTTTTTTGTATGGATACGTTTTCTATTATTTATTAATATTTTTCCCAATAGCACCTTCTTTGTAAGAACATCCCATATGATCTTAACAGGTCTTTCACAGACGATTTCGCGCATCTAAAGGGTTAAGCCCACAGTGACAAGACTACTTCTTTAAAAAGAAAAGGATTTATGTGGGTTGTAAACTCAACGAACATTTCAGAATGGCGGCTTAGATAAGACGTGTTTCTACAATATTGTTATAAAAATATATGGGTATGGCATACAAAAAATATTTTATATAAAACTATCTTTTCGGATTTTTCGCGATTTTATTTTGATTTTAGGTTCTCGACGTTTCGAATACTTTACAGCAATCATGGTCACGGGAGAGACTGAGGTGTTTCATGTCTCTAAAATATTATATAGTTGTTACAGGTAGCTAAATAATAAATCTAAGAAAATATTATAAAAAAAATACTATTAAAAAAAATTGTTTGCACGAAATGATATGATTATTACAACAGTTTTAAAATTTCTTTCCTTCAACAGTCTATGACATCTTATCTAAGCTTCACGAAAATTCTTTTAAGTTTACTTAAAAATTAAATTTTTATCTTACTAATATTATAAATGTGAAAGTTTAGACGTTTGGATATTTGTTACTCAATCACGTCGGAACGGTTGAACGGATCTGGCTGAAATTTGATACACAGATTATAGTCTGGAATAACACGTAGGTAACTTTTTATCCCAAAAAAATGTACTGTTCCTGTGGGATAGATTTGTTTTTGTTTTTCTAGAGGCGAACCCGAGCAAAGCGAGTGTAAGCTGCTAGTAGTTAAAACCTTCATAACTACAAAATATCCTTGCAAAATACTGAATAGAAGTTCTTGAAATTTTCTATTGGTTTGTGAAAATTTCTACATGGATTTATATATTACATTATTATTTATTCATACTAGTGTTCGCTCAGTGGTCGAAATTCGACCACAATCATTATTGAAAATTTGAAGAAAACATGTGAATAGAATATATATATAAAAAACTAACTGTTTCCAATTTTTTTTATAGAAAACACTTAAGCTCGTCAATAGCTACTAAACAAAAAAAAAGAAAATCGGTTGACGAACAGAGAAAAAGGAGAAGAAGGTACAGAACGGAAACGAGAGGAAAAGAGAGAAAAAGGTACTGAACTGTCTTTGTCTATATAGATGACTTCCAATTTTGTAAATGTCATGCAAGATACTCCATACTAATATTATAAATTTGCAAGTGTGTTTGTTTGTTTGTCTTTCTTTCACGTCGAAATGGCTTGGCGGATTGGCGTGATTTTTTGTGTGAAGATAGTTGGAGGGCTGGAGAGTAACATAGGCTATTTTTTATCGCGGGAGATTGTCTCTTTCCCACGGGAAAACACGTTACAATATAATCTAAAAAAATATTTATGATTAATTATTACTTGAAACTTATTATAAAATTATAAATGCTCTTCAATACAATTAATTAAATACATGTTTTAGCATTTTTCGTAATTCATCCGATAAGGGCGTAAAATAGCGGATGAAAGTTTGTATGAAACCTAGCATTTTAGTTTTTTTTGTAGTTTTAGCGCGAGCGAAGCCGCGGGTTCTGCTAGTTTTACTATAATAACGTAAGCTGTATACTATTTGTACGAGCTATAATTAAGTAGGTATATACTTTAATTATTTATTGATTTATAAGGAAAAAAAATTAAAACTTTATATACAAAATGAATAATAAATAACAAGCTACAAAAAGTAAGAGGTAAAAAGATTAAATATTTTTTTCGACCAATAAAATCACACTACTAATGCGAAATAAATATATACTAGCGACTCACCCTTACTTCGCTCGGGTTCGTTTCTAGGTACATTTTAATGGTTAGTATGGAATAGATAGACTATACATTATATTCCTATCTCAATAAAAGGGCTATCTATGTAAAAAAAAAATTCAAATCGGATTAGTAGTTCCTGAGATTAGCGCGCTTAAACAAACAAAAACTAATCAATCAATCAAACAAAGAAACAAACAAACAAAAAAACAAACAAAGAAACAAAGAAACAAACAAACAAACAAACAAACAAACAAACAAACACAAATTCTACCTCTTAATAATATTAGTATAGATATTATGCGTGTATGTTTCTTCGCGCAGCTTCTTCGCGCTGAAAAGGACTGGACAGAAATGTATGATAACAGACTGTTTTTTTTTTTATTGAAAGATAGGCTTGCGCTTGACTACAATCAGCGTTGAGAAGCACTGATGAGGTCTAGTTTTGAAGGTACTTGGATTGTAGGTGGTAGTAAACACGGATGCTGGAAGGGTGTTCCACTTCTTAGCAGTTCGATTCAGAAACGTAGAACTGAAGCGTTTCGTGCGAGTTGGTTGGATTTCTACCACATAAGGATGCCAGCACTCACGACTTCTCGCAGTTCTGTGGTAAAACGGTGAAGGGGGCACAAGGTTGTGAAGTTCCTGCGCGCACTCCCCAAAGTATATCCGATAGAATATCGACAGACACGCGACAATGCGTCGTTGCTGTAGACTAAGCATTTTCGTCTGCGTTAGTGTTTGATAAGGAAATTGACTATGACCTTCAGTAAATCTTTCTCCACCCTTTGGTGCCAGTGCCTGTACAATAGGTTATAGATATAAGGTAACTAAGAATGTAATCGAATGAATCGAGGGTAATTCCCTAGTGCAGATCCCACTTACACTTGGTCTATAGAATAATTTATAATAAAACCCCTAAAACACATTTCTTTCCTTCCTTATTTTTTTTCTTACTATAGGTATCTTATGTTATTTGCCACAAGCTGACTTTTTCTTGCGGTTTTATTTACGATATTATAGAATACGGTTTAAAATCATGAAAACTATACGGACGTCTTAAGTAGCGATAATTAGTAATGGAATTCCAAAATAGGGTTCTACCCAGACCCTTTGAGCTTTCCCTCCGATGTGTGTTCATCTTGTCCGGCAACTCAGCCGGGCGCCAAGCCAAGAGACCCACAGGTAGGTGGATCACTTCAGTGGGTGGTGTATCATATGGATTGCTCATGGTATTTCTCTGACAGAAGAGTGGGCCGTGAGAGCAACCCCTTGGGTGTGTCCTTCCGTTGGAGCGTCGTGGTTGAGTGCGTAAGCGATCCTGCGTGAGCCCATTAACACAGGGGAAGTTCTGTAGGATTTTAATGGGTAAGTACATGGCTAGAGTTCCACATAACCACCTGTATGTTAGGTGGTATGCGTAAATGCCAACATTAAAAAAAAGGATTCTTTGGGTTTGAAACCCAAAAAAATCATAAGTAAATTAAACAAATATTTATTGATGATTTTTTTTAATTGCTCTACAAGTTGGCCGAACTAGTTCCATCCGATAAAGGTTGGTTCACAATAATATTAAACTATTAAAAGGCATTTAATTTTTCTCTTCACTGTATTTTTTCTAACAAATAAAACGTAAGTATGTGTAATGATTTTGAAATTAGTGAGCCATATATATATAAAGTCTTGGAATGTTTGTCATGGCTTTAACATAGGATCAGATCACTTTATAAATGTGTGTAGGTATGTTTGTTTGTTCGCAATATTTTGAGTTTTTTTTTACTTCGTACCAAAAAAATCACGTAACAGAACTTTGAACAAACTTAAGTATTTTAATGCTTAAGTATTTTCATATTTTTTTTTAAACATATAACTCATTATTACTACATTTTTTACATCTAAGGTGTGTAAAACGTGGAGTTTAGTGTATGTATGGACTGCCACCCTTAAGTTTTATATATCTATATAAATAAAAATGAACCACCGAAATGTACATATGTACGCGCATAACTTCGGATCGACTGCACCAAATTGGATAATTCTTTTTTTGTGTTTGTTATTGTCAGGAAGTTTTGTATAGAAGAAAATAAAAATTTTTTTTTTACTAAAATAAGTTCTTTTTTAAATCACATGATATGAAAAGTTAGTGACTGAAATAGTTTTTATCATAAAAATCATCCCTTAAGGCAGTGCGAATGAGAATGAAAGTTTGTATGGGGCCGCAATATATATTTTGATATTTTAGCTGTCATATATCATGGACATATATATGGACGTGACAAAATCGTAATGATTCAATTTTTGCTTTTTTTACAAAGTTAATCTATACAGATAAATAAAATTGAAGTGTCTGTTTGCTATATCAAAATAACAGCTTTTTACGAAAGGCATTTAAAAGTATATTACTAACAACTACTACAAACTTATAAGAAAAAAACTTTGTTTTTAATATTTGTTCTGGCTAATCTCCGAAACAACTGGACAGATTTTGATGGGATTTTCACTAGCAGGAAGCTGATGTTTATAAGGAGTAACTAAAGCTACTTTTATTTTAGAAAAAGAATCAGGGTTCCACTGCAAAAAAATTAAAACCCATGAAATTATTGAAAAATACATATAGATATATAATAATATTTATAATATGTATGTATTTAAAGTTATATATATGTTGTGTATCAACTATCTGGTATCCATAACACAAGCCTCGTAGCTTATCATGGAACTAGATGGTGCTGTGTGTTAATGTACCAACATATCCCAACATATTAAAACGGACGCACCCGAGCGAAGCGAGCTTAAGTCACTACTATGAAATACAGTACAAGAATAAAATACACTAAAATAAATATATGTTAAAAACGTAATATGCATGTATGTATACTTGACTTAAGCTTTGAATCATATACTAAGTAAAAAAATATAAGATTTTCCTCATATAAATAGCAACCTTTTATACCACACGTGAATGAGATCTCGCACGAGTAACATGTTTACTATGTTTTTAATATTATTCATAGTTCCATTTTGTACTTCATTAGGTGAGTTATATTTTATTTTAAATACCGATGTTTTTAAGAAATCTATAATACGAGTATATACATACATTATAATAATATTTATATTCGATGTGACTACTGTACGACGTACTGTACAGTATCTGTACGACTGTACGACTAATATGTAACTATTTGTCCAGCTATTTTTTTTTGAAGTGAAAACTTCTATAGGCAGATTTAGATGGAAAGTAAATTCATGTAAGTCGTCATCGACATGGTCACGTGACGTGTTAACGCTAACACTCAGAGTGCCGATAGATTTCAAAACCAGATAAATGAAAACAGTTTTAATTTACAAATTTTAATTTAAGATCAAAAAATTAATTTGAATATCCAAAAAAATAAATTTGTTTATAGTTTTAAGTTTTCACTTCTATTGGCAGTGCTTTTTTTATTTTCAATTCAGAGCATCTGGATAAAAAAATATTTGTAAGGTTTAATTTTCGATTAAGACAGGCCCGAATTGGATTACGTAGCTGGAGTTAGCTTTCGAAAGCTCTAAATAAAAGATGGCGGCCCTAGATTTGCAAATTGTGAATACCCATACTCTTTCTCTTATTTTCATTGTTAAGTAAAAATATTTTTTTTTTAATTATAATCAATAGCCGAAAAATAATATTTGCTGTACAGTAGCTGTATTAATAATAATAAATTATTCATAGTTACTGTATCAATAAGCAATAATATAACTTTTTAAGCTTAAAAGTTAATAAATAATTGCATTTTTCTTTTTTCCAATCGCTTATAAGTGTTTGTGGTTCATAATTTTTTGATTGCAAATCAAAATATTATACACTGATACAGTAAGCTTTATATACATACATACATATGAGTAAAATTTTTTACATTAATAGCTGCTTCTTCTTCGTCCAGCCCATTTCCCAACTTTATTTGGAGATGGGCAGTTAAATAGCTTCTAATATTACAAAATTTACGTAAGTATTATACTAGTGCTAATATTATAAAGAAGAGTTTGTTTGTTTGTCTTATTTTGATTTATTTGTTTGTCTAATCTCAGGGACTACTAATACGATATGAAAAATTATTTTTACATTAGATAGCCCGTTTATTGAGGAAATCTATAGGCTATATATTATCATGTAATATATAGCCTGTCTATTCCATACTAACCGTTAAAACATATCTAGAGGCGAACCAAAACGAAGCGAGAGTGAGTCGCTACTGTGTCATAATATTAGACTCCGCATGACGTACTGGTCTAGTGCATTTCCATACACCAAAGGTCGCAATGAATGGCAAATATTAATACTTCCAATCTAATTCTAAAAACATTCTGTATTATCTGTAAACTCTTAGTTTTGAGTCATAATCGAAACAAAAACTCATGTAAAATTCTTTATTTACTCACAGAAACAACTTGACTACAGGCGTTAATCTTATATACGGATATACATAATTCGTTGGCTTACTATTACAAGGTTCTAAGTTAATTTTAATGAAGTTTAGTAATTTTTACATAGAACTTCGTTATTTTGTTATCGTAAAAAAAACAACATAGAACTATGTAAAATTGAATATTTTGTTGTTAAAGTGCTGCTATCTGGTGGTGTGTTTTTGTAAAACTGTAGCTAATGACACATAGAACCTTGTAGCATTAATAACTAAATAAGTACTAAAATTGTAACATACTCGTAGAACCTTGTAATAGTGAGCCAACGTCTTATTCTTTTATATGGAAAAATTTAGTGAATTGTGGAAACTTTGTTTACCTGCTAACCTGTTAACCGCAATATGACTTAACGCTGTGATTGTGATTCTGCTCACTAAACTAAAATTCACAATATTTAGAAAGGAATTTGAATAAAACGAGACAAATTATATATTTCAGAGAGTACTTCATCATTCCGATATGACTACAATTACCATTCTGAGGTGGATGGATGGATGAAGCTGCATCGAGTGCCAGCAACATTCCACGATGCGTGGCTACGTTGTCATTTGGAAGGTAAAATTAATTTGCAAAAATATATTAAACTTGTACAGCAATCAAACTTCACTATGAGCTCAACAAAAGCTCTAACAAAAGTTTTAGTATATCAGCTGTTTTTTACTACTGTTCAGATCAATTACCACTCTACGAGCACTAGCAATAATTATTTGTGCTATAATTGATGTGTGATAGATCAAAATATCAAAATTACGCTAGTTATGCATTCGCATAAGTTAAATAGAATAAAAATTACAAAATATTATTTAAAAAAAGATCGATTTTTTGTAAAAATAAGAAAACTGTTGACATTAGAGTACGTATAAGAATTTTCCTCAAACCAAAGGCCGGTATAAGAAACCCGTACTTTGTTTATTTCACTTTCACATCACTTATCACTTATTTAACACAATCACAAGAATTTAAATTATGACACCTTTAACTTTCAACATTATTTCAAATTACTGCAGAAAATACAATTTCTTTTTACAAAATACCTCTTTTTAAATCTTACAATTTTTCAACTTAAATTTTGTTTTGACTTTATTTTTAAATTAAGAATCATAATTCATACTAAATACAGTTCTTGGTGCTGCCATCTCTACAAGCTTGGCAGGAAATAAGTATTACATTTGACTCTAAATAACAGTGATAACTACATTTTGTTCTATTCTCATACTAGTAACAATTCTTAATATTGCTAAAATAATAAAATAAGACCATCAGTGGCACCTTCAGTGGATTTTGGCCTTGTCCAGCCAATAAGCATAAAGCATAAAAAACCAGAAATATTTAAAACAAAATGGATGCGTACAACCTTTACGCACGGTTGAAGTAAAACTTCTTTGTCAAATATCGTAATTAAATTAAAACAAATCAATATAATAAAAAAATAAAAAATTATAATAATTAAATAGGCATATTAGGCATATTAAAATCATTTATATATATAAGATCATATAAGAAAAGAATATAATATGATACATTTGTCAGACAATACTATGGCGCCATGGCAACAATTAGTCATAATAGCTTTTATTTAATTTATGCATTCCTCTATAATAAATATTATTTTTTCATAAGAATAATTATTATAAAATTATTAATAATAAATATATATTTTTATACATAATAATTATTATAAAAATATAAATATAATACATTTTTTTTTAATTATTAATAATAAATTTGACTCTCACTTTCGCGACACACCTCCGCTGCATTCATTTTTTTAATTGACCTCTTAATCACGCCTAAAGGAGTTGTACTTCAAAAATATTTTTCAAAACCTCTTCAGCGATTGTTTTAGAAAAAAAATATTGGTGAAGATATTGTGTGACATACACATATAATATAACCCGATTACGCTATAAAGTTTTGATGTGCAAAATATTATCGCATTTAATTAATGCATTCATATTTAAATGTCAAAAGGTATACAGGCTCATTTTTAATTTACTGAAAACCTTTTGGGAATATACTGTTTACATCATAATAACAACATCTGTAAGAAAAAAAATAATATTTCTTAAATTTTACAAAAATAAAAGTATTTTTATTGCTCCTACTAAACGGTAATAGTCCAGCAAATTAGCAAAAGAAAGTGCGTGTCCGGTGGAGGGGGAGGGGTGTAGGAAGTGGCCCTTACTCATTAAAGCTTGGCCAGATGCTAGAACTTTACCGTTTAGAAGGTGCAAACAAAATATTTTTATTTTTGTATGAAAATAAAAATTAAGAAATATAATTTTTTCTTGTTACAGATGTTGTTGTTATGATGTAAATACTATATTCCCAAAAGGTTTTCAGTAAATTAGAAGTGACCCTGTATATGTACATAATATGATAAATGATTTTTTAATTAATGTAATCAATCTTTTCCAGGATCTATTCTGGCTTCACCCATCGATAACCACTTCGGAACAGCCATGAAAACTGAAATGCGGAGTAATCGACTGAACTCGAACGGGGTATTCACAGGGATTCATGGCACTTTTTCTAAAGGCGATTTTTTCTCTACAGAAGGTGTGTATCTAAACGAATATTATAAATGCGAAAGTTTGTGAGGATGTATGGATATTTGTTACTATTTCACGCAAAAACTACTGAATGGGTTCTAATGGAACTTTACAAACACATAGGCTACTTTTTATCCCAGAAAAATTTACGGTTCCCATGGGATAGACTTGTTTTTTTTTTCCTAGAGGCGAACTTGAGCGGATCGCGAGTGAACCGCTAGTTACTTAATAATAAATATAAATATGTTGGGACATTAATACACAGCACCATCCAGTTTCATGGTAAGCTACGAGGCTTGTGTTATTGATACCAGATAGTTGATACACTACATATATATAACTTTAGATACATACATATAATAAATATAAACACCCATGACTGGAGTACAAATATTCGTGCTCATCACACAAAAGAATGCCCCCACCGGGACTCGAACCCGCGACCGCTGGTACAATAAGTAGGGTCACTACACACTGAACCAAACGTGTCGTCAAAATAATAATACTCTTTACCGGTTGCGTCGACTACCAAAAATGGATGTGCAAAACGAGTGCAATCGCTATTCCTTTATCTCTCTAAGTCTAGTCGAACACAGAGAGATCAGGAACGGTACCGACAGCTTTACATGCTGTCTGACTTCAAAGCACAAAGGAATTTCATCATCAACTTCCCAATAAAAAAAATCTAGATAGAAAAAATCTTATAACTATTTTTCCTCGACCCGTATCGAGGATTGTATATTAGGTATGTTACTTACTAAAAAGACGAGGCAGTTACAAGATATTTGCAAATATTTTATACTTTGAAGGATCGTACCGGATGTGATACTGATTGCCAAATACACATTTACTGCACCAATTGATCAAAAATTTTATCGACTCGTCACATAATAAATTAAACCTTAAACCTTTACTCAATATTTACCTCTTCATAATGTGCTTATCTATACAGATAAATAAAATTGACGTGTTTGGTCGTAATGTCAAAATAAAAGCTTTTTACTAAATGCATATAAACTTATATACGGTACTTATAAGAAAAACACAATTTTCAAAATTTATGTCTGTCTGTCTGTTTGTCTCTGCTAATCTTCGAAACAGCTGCACTGATTTTGATGGGATTTTCACTGGCAGGTAGCTTATGATATAAGGAGTAGCTTAGTCTACTTTTATTTTAGAAAAAAAATAGAGTTCCGCTCAAGAAATTTAAACGTACTTAGGGACGCGAGGGTAAGTCGCTAGTGTATAATATGAATATATAAATACCACGCTCGTTAGGTATGGTTTAATAAATAATGTATACGATGGCGTAGAAAGGATGAATGATGAGAAATTGATGGAAATTATACTGTACATAAATGAATACTAAATAGTACCACTTATATTAAAATAGCGGCTCACCCTCACTTAAACGTACATACGTACGTAGGTGCGTTTTAAATACATATAAATAGTTATTATCCAGCGTTAGCTATTTTCATAATTGTCAATATTTTGTTGAATTTTTCCGATGTTTTAATAGAACACCTCCAGGTAAATTTCTAAGAAATTAATTAAATTTCTAAAAAATCTATTGTTAACTGTAACGCCGGCGTGTCCGCAGTCATGGAAGGATTATTCTATTATTCGGCGGAGACAAATCTAACTGATCAAAGATCATCAAAATCGGTCCAGCCATACTCGAGTTATAAGTATTGAAACAAACCCGACTGTTTTATATATGTATGTATATAATCTATATATCACTTCGGTAGTCGATATTTTTCTGATAGAAGAGTGGACGTGGGAGCAACCCTTGGTTGTTGTCGTTATACTAGCTTTTCTAGCCGGTGACTCCCACATAACTATAGTCTACCTATATACTAAACATGCAAATACGTTCTGCAGTTTCAATGTTAAGGAGAAACAAACACACACACATACAAACTTTCACATTTATAATAGCATTGCCATTTATTTTATATTTTTTGACGTAGGTATTCCTCTAAACAAGATGCCTCTGGAATGGATGCCTTCAGAGCCGGATAACAAGAATAACGATGAAGACTGTATACTGTATGCAGCTAACGGTACCATCGCAGATGTAAGCTGCAATGAAGTCCACTCATACATATGTTATATGAAGAGAACTAAAAATATGTCTGTAACTGGATGTGGAACTGTTGATAGAGGTTTGTTATATTTAAGATCTAACTTTCTTATATCTACAAGCCTCCGGCCATTGGATCGCATGCAATGGAAGTTCATATATTATTGAATATATATTTTTTTAAAGCAATGGCGTTTTAAATTAAATTAACTTTTAGAATTTTGTTTTTTTTTCCGATGTTTCGAATCACCGATTCGATCACGGGAGACTAAGAATTTTAGGCGTCTCAAAAGCAACATTATTAGCCTATTTATAATTTAAAAATTAAAATATTTGTATACGACTGTAAGAAGCAAGAATATTTTGTTTAGATATGTGGTATATGTCAGTATGATACTATATGATACTCCTAATAAATACTTAATCTAAATTACCCGTACTTTACATAACCATAAATAAAATATCCCGCTTTATCGCTTATGCAATATGCTTAAGAAGATATGGTATTCATGTACAGCTTGTTACAATTTACCACCCACAGAGTACGTCTTAGAACCAGCGACTGGAAGCTGCTACAAGTTCCATCGAGTGGCTAGGAATTGGACCAGAGCGTTCATGACCTGTGCGGCTGAAGGAGGTCACCTCGCGATTATAAATAGTGACACTGAAGCGAATGTTCTTAGACAAATATTTGCTAAGCACCCTCAAGACAGCATAAAATCAAACCTTCCTGGTATTATGAAGGAGATCGCACACATCGGCTTCCATGATTGGGGAGAAAGGGGTATCTGGACTACAATACATGGTTAGTATCAAATTGAATATGCACTTCATCTCTCATATATAATATATCTTTATATATATATTTCTATATATATATAGATTACTTTATATAAATATTATATAGATACTTAGATTTTTGTTTAAAATGTAGTAGAAACCTTACCTTACCTGTCTAAAAATAACCACAAAAACTCCCTTTTCAGGATCTTCGTTGATAGAAACTGGTTTTGATCTTTGGTCTGAAGGCCAACCAGATAACGCACCGCCAGGAGAGTATTGTGGAGGGATGTTCCGCAACGGTCGCTTAAACGATGTGTGGTGCCACGAGAGAGGACCTTTTATCTGCGAAAAATCACCAGACAGCTTAAATGCTGACGACGATCCCCTAAAGTAATTGTAAAATTAATTTTAACCTCCATACCTTAAAGACCTCAGTAGTCTAAGTTCAAAGTGTCAATAGTTCATAGAGAAGTTAATAAAGAAAGCTGAAATGCTACGTTTTCAGTCTTGGTCTGCTCTTTTTCTTTCTTCCTATCCCACGCTACATAGGACTGGCACAACATATTTTCATTTACCATTACACTCTTTCAGCCATCATCTTAAAATACATATAACAATCATCTTTCAAACTATTTACTATTTACTCCATCCGTACTAGGGTGGAGCTAAAAAAATTTTTTTTATTAGCTTAGGGATAGAAATTGTAGCTAATAGAAAAAACATTTTTTTTTTGAAATAAAAATTTTTTTACTCAACATTTTCAGGTGGCCCACTGATTTTTAAAATATGTACATAATTTGAATTTTTTGTTTGAATGAATTTTACGAGTGATCATCTTTGAAAACATTCAAGAATTAACGAATATATTCATTTTCTACTCAAATTTCACTTTATTACAGAAAAAATAACATGTCATTTTTTCAACTTATTTAAAAATTCAATAATGGTCTGAATTTTTTTTTGTTCATTACTTAAATCATTCATTCATTTTTACTATTTTTTCGCAGAATCTTTTAGACAGTTTATATACATACAGATTGTTTCACTTTTTAATATATCCAATTTTATTGTTCACAGACTTGTTTTTTTAACCGGATCTTATGACCTCAGACCATACGATTAATTTTCCTGTTAAAAACTTGTTATGCGATAAATTTTAGTAAATAAGTTATTAAAAATAGCGACAAATCATTAAAGGCTAATAAACGTATTTAATTAATATATATATTTTACTACCCATTTCCCTATAAATTATCGTATGAGAGATGTTTTAGGGCTTAAAGTGATAATTTCGATAATTGCTTGTTAAAACACCCCCTAAAGTCCTTAATACATTCCTATGGTAATATCACCCGTTTTATACTTAAGGATAATTTTGAAATAATGTGTTCTAAATGATAACATCCCCAATATGCATAAATCCCAAATGTATATTAACACCCTACTAGCGACTCGCCCTTCGTTCGTTCGTCCCTAGTGAAAAATAAAAACTAATCTATACACAGAAACCATGCATTTTTCCGGGAAAAAAAACCTGTGCTGTTCCAGATTATAATCTATCTCTATCCCAAATTTCATCCACATCCGTTCAGCCGTTCTGGCGTGATTAAGTAACAAACATCTATCCATCCAAAATTTCGCATTTATTATAGTTTAATTATATATTATAAGGCACTGGGGTAAAACACTAAGAATTTCCCAACTCCAGGCTGTTAGTGAGAATTTCTTGACAGAAAAACTCAATAACTACACTCAGCCCGATCCGGGACTCGAACCCAGGACCTCCGGATATGCCTTACGTGCTAGCCACTACACCACCGAAACAGTTGTAGCAAAGAAACTTAATAAAAATACTTTCAATTTGATAAATTTTGAACAATTTCTTCTAACCAACATCTAATTAGCTAATTTCGGTGTTAAATATTTATAGATATATAAATATTTTAATGCTAACAGCTATTGGTGCAAGCGTCAGTGCGAAGACACGTGCACTCTGTATCCATTACTCCCATAGTCGTTTGGGACGGCAATTCGATACGACTAGCCAACGCCACTAATATCTCACGTTCAAACTGCTTTCTCACGAGAGATTTACAGAAAACCCTTTTGTTTGGACTCTAACCTAGATCTCATAATCCAAGTCATCTAAAGCAACCACTTTAATAGCAGGCAATCAAAACATATTATTATTAGATAAATGGAGTATAAAATCATCATTACATTCCTCGTTAGCAGTTATAATGAATTTTCTCCGAAATTTATAATAACAGTTTTTATAAAAGCTTCGAAAAGCTTTTCTTAATAGATTTTTCTCAGAAATACATTATTTAATATTTAATCGCAATATGATCTCTCATATTTTAACAAACAAGAATATAAGTAATTTAAATTATTTTTAATTTAAATTACTTATATTCTTATTGGTTTTGGTCATTGAGAGCCAAAAGGCTTTTCGGTTTAAGGTTTCGGTTACGTTCTTTAACTTCTTTAACCGGTTCAATTCGGAAGAACGGTTTTTGACGAATCTAGGTTCCATGACCAAAATTTGCCGGTCAAAATGAGTTTTTGTGCGTTTTAATTTCGTGAGTATTTGCTAATTGTGAATGGTTTAGTAAAAAGACACATGTACTTTTATTGCTTCTGAATGAATTAATCGATTTATTTCGGTATTAAAACCGAAAGCCAACCTTTTTCTAAGCATAACTGTTAACCATTATTATTTCGGTTTACTAAACCGTTTTCATAAAACGATTAAAGAATGAGCGAGGAATTAACCATTACATTACCGAAATAAATAGTTTTTATTAAACCGGTTCCGAACTCTGTTTTCAGCACAAGGTAACGAGTAACAAGCATACACACAAACTTTCGCAATTATAACAGTAATCAGATGGTCTTGTATATAACAGCAATGCGTAAAACCAAAGATGTCCGTCCTGTGTCCAATAGTAGACTGAACGGGGATGATGATGATAATGACGATGATGATATATAAGATTCCATATTTCACCTTTAAAGTGCAGAACCACAACAAAAATATATCTTATACCTATGTCTATATGAATACTCGCATGTAAAGCCGCAGGTTAGACCTTATTTAAATAAACTTTTATGTCTGCCGATAGACATTTACGAGCCACGTATACTCCAATCAGGAAATGAAGGATAAAGTAAAATAAAAAGCTAATAAAATACACGCAATCTTAGTTAATTAATTAAACATTTGCTAGTTAATGATTGTTAATGCAAATCCGCAGGCCGTGGGTTTGAGTCCGATCCAAGTATACTTATGTAGAGAAGTGAGCAAGTTTGTGGTGTCACGTCGCACTCGAGGTAGGGCGTTACAAAAATCTTAGTCTTTCACGGATCATGACTGCACGATGCTTTAAAGCATTTGAAACGTCAGGAACAAAAAAATCTAGTTTTATTTAAAATGTTAATAAATTAAGAAGGACAATTTTATTTGAAACTAGTGACCTACCTGTCTTCGTTCGGGTGCATCTGCATTAAGTGGCACTAAGTAAATGTCAATTCGAATATTCCAACGTTTTTCTAATAAGGTTAAAAAAAAACTTATTGTACATTTTTGGGATTGTTTATTTACGATAGAACTATTGTTAGCATCAAAATGTATTGATATATTAAGTCATGCTGATATATTTTGGTGTAATTAAATGTTAATATATTTAATTCATTATGAACATTAAATGTTTAAATAAAGACATTCAAGAGATATCATCTTATATCTTACACGAAGTATGCATTTTTGGAGATCTGATGTTTTTTATTACACACGAATATAAACCCATAGCCTATGTAAGTATGGTCTTTAAATAATAGAAGAATTTGATACTAAGTTGCCTTAGTGCTTATTTGTTCAAACGACAATGCGGTGTACTTTGCAGTAGCGAGATTTGTTCGTCTATTTTAAAAACAAATATTTCTAATATTTACATATTTGGATATAAAAACTTAAAAAAACCAGCTTCTAAACTGTAAAAAATTACTAAACGGGGGTTTTCATTTAGAATAAATATCTAATCATATATTTTAGAAGTCAGTGCCAGCCAACAATAATTTTAAAAAAAGGTTTTGAGGAATTGAGAACCTCCTCCTTTTTGAAAGTCGGTTAAAAATACATTTTTCCGACGTTATTAAAGTAACATGTGTATTAAATACCAATAGAAGAGATACATAAAAGTCAATAATTCTGTACTAGAAATTCTTCGGTAAATTGGTCTTTTCAATTGGACAAATAAGCACTGAGACGACTAGATACTGCTTAGAGGCAAAAAATAGGGCTATAATATATTTGGTAACGTGGGAATGGCAGTGCTGAAAAATAGGACGAGCTAAGTGCTCGTGGAATTTCGTTATTACAGAGTAAATACAGATAGAGATTTGTAAGAAATACTAAGCATCTTATGTAAAATGCATATACTCCATCTTTATGTAACAAAAACATATAAAATATATTTAAAACTAGTGACTTATCCTTATCCTAGACTTATTAGGTGCATCCCTAGCTACGTTTTTTTTTGAGCGGCACCCTAACTATCTGTCTGTTTGCTCCAGCAAATCTCCGAAACGGCTGGACTAATTTTAACGGTAACTTCACTGGCAAATAACTGATGTTATAAGGAGTAACTTAGGCTACTTATATTTTAGGAAAAAAATTAGGGTTCCACTAATAAAAAATTAAAACGTAGTCAGCCGACCGAAGCCGAACCCGAGCGAAGCAAGGATACCAATCCAAGACCAATCTTCCTATCTTCTCCATTCTACGTGACATTGCCAAGTCATCAGTGCTCAACTGGCACGCTTTGAAGCCAATACCAAGAAAATTGAATTGAATTGAGGACCACCGTAGTGAAGGATAGTCTAGGATAATCTAGCATATAACTACTCTGTACTTTGTTTTTAAGTGAACGCGTACTGTTGGCTTTAGCGGTGAACAGCTGTGAGTTTATCGAGCTTGATAATAAAGTGCTGAGAGGACATCTTAATATTGTACCAGCTGTAATAAGCTTAGTATTTTACGAGACATAAAACGAGCTTAGTTACATGAATTACTTACAATCTAGCCATTATTACTTATTCTTGATAAGTAAGGAAATTTTACACTTTTTTTTAAATATTTGTATATTTTAAGAAAAGTGTCAAAGATTTTTTTTTTTTAAATCTCGTTAATATTCATGTTCAGAAGTCGCTCGAAAAGATGTAAGGTACTCTACTACTTGGAAACTTAAAAAATCTTGAGCGACCTTTAAATATTAAAATGTCAACTTGAAAAATTCAGAATCCTAATCATTTTTATAGTAGAAAGTAGTGAAATAACTATAACGGAAAAAAAAAATAAAAAAAATCGATTTTCAACGATTTTGAAAATTCTTAAAAACTTTCAGCGACCACTTAAAAATGATAAACTAACAAACATATTTTCGTAAGAGACTCGAAAAAAAATTGATTTTTTCGGGCCACCCTAATTAATATACACTCTAATTGAGTAAAATGTAATGTAATTCAGTTCTTATTTGGGCATGGCCCTCATCTTAATACAAGGAGAATCGGACCATAATCCAACATGCTGGCCAAATGCGGATTGGTGGACTTCAAATGTCTTTAAAGAACTATTTAGATTTTCTTGGAAATGTAAGTTTTCTATCGATGTATTTTCTTCACCTAATTAGCAAATAGTAATCATGGGGTTAAAAATGACTTACACATGAGAATATTACAGGTGCGAGAACAGGTTTGAACCCGCATCACTTAGCCGTTAAGTGGGCGCGTTACCACTGTTGAGTACCTCCTCTTTTTGAAATTGGTTCAAAAGAATTATTACTTATAATGAATTCATTTTTTAATATAATCAAGCTTGCTTCATACATTCTGCCCAAATCATAAAACCACAAAGGCAATTCACAAAATTATAATAAAAAATAGTTAATACACATAACATCTACTTGGAAATATATATTTTTTTTGAATTTGTAAATAATATCGAATTAATAAAGTCTTCGTCGAACCTTCAGTGACCCTCGCCATATTCTAAATTTGCTTTATTAACAACTATATTATTGTTTTTGTTATTATTACCTTATGTTTGTTACTCAATCACGCCAGAACAGCTAAGCGGATCTGGATGAAATTTGGCAAAGAGATAGCATATAAGCTACTTTTTATTTCGGGAAAATGTACAGTTCTAGTGGGATAGAAGTGTTTTTGTTTTTTTTTTAGTATTTTTATACATTGTAGCCTTCTGTGTTCTCTGTGGTAAGCCCTACCTTAAATAGATTTCTTTTTTTAGCCTTTGATTACTGAGCTATATTTAGAATAGATTGATTCTCCCGTTGGTTATTTTTTTAGGGACGCACGTTTATATCACGCTACTGTGATTAGAGCTTCCTAATCACACAGTTAATGGTACTTACGTATTAAATTAAACTTAACGGTGGAGCTGTCAAAAGCACAGCTTTCCGACTTAATAAAGAGATATGATCATAGCTTAGCCAATTTGCTCGTAATATATTTAGATTTTATTTCCCACTAGCAGTTCACCCTTGCTTCGCAAGGGTTCGTGGTACTTACGTATTAACGCCACCGCTGTAGCTGCGGTGGCGTTAATAGGTAAGTACCCTATTAATTATAAATATATGCCTATGGGTGCGTGCATGCGTTCGTGTGTGTGTCTATGTGTGTGTGTCTATGTGTGTGTGTGTGTATGTGTATGTGTGTGTGTGTGTGTGTGCTTGTGTGCGTATGTGTAAGTGTGGAAGTCGCAGATAGACTATGATCTTGTGTAACATATGTATAGGCTCTTTTAATAATAACATTGTCAAATATGTCGCTGGTAAAGGTAGAGAACTACACTTTGTACAAACGTATTATAATCCAAAATCTTGACCTCAAGCTCCACATTTCTGGTTCGATATGTCCCGGAACGTATTAAATACAACATTCACCGCACGTATTCAATAGATTTCTTCTCGCCAAGAATCATAGAATATTGATAGGTACGTAGATAATAAAGGTTTATGTTAATGGTACAACAAATGGTTATAATATGGTGTTTAAGTAAGCTGTTATTTTGTGTTAGAATAAGTACATACTAATATTATAAATGTGAAAGTGTTTTTGTTTGTTTGTTCTTATTTCACGTCAAAACAGAGTTAATATAAATGACTGTATCTACATTCTATGTATATATTTTACACATTTTGCTAACCGACTTCCAAAAAGGAGGAAGTTCTCAATTCGTCGGAATCTTTTTTTATGTACCGATTACTCGAAGACTGCTAAACCGATTTGAAAGATTCCTTTTTTGTTACAAAGGATATACTTCCCTGGTAACATGGCCCCATTTAAATTTTATCGAAATCTGCCGAGCAGAAAAATCAACAATAAATTATTTTTTAGGGTTCCGTTCCCCAAGCGTAAAACGGGACCCTTATTACTAAGACTCTGTCGTCTGTCCGTCTGTCACCAGGCTTTTTTTATGTTTTACTTTTTAGTGCCTGGAAGGCTTTGCAAGGCTTTGAAAGATTTGCTTTGCATCGGTTTTTATTTTTTCATTTTTAGTGTAGACGTAATAAGCAGGTAATTTTTAAGAAGAAAGTTTTTTAATAACATATTCAATTTAACGATTTATTTTAAACAAATATTTATTGTTGATTTTTTTTTAAACCACTTGACCGATTTCGATAAAATTTATATGGAACCACCTGGGAAGTATATCCTTTGAAACAAAAAAAAACATTTCCAAATCAGTTCAGGCGTCTTCGAGTAATCAGTAAACATATAAAAAAAGATTCCGACGAATTGAGAACCTTCTCCTTTTTGGAAGTCGGTTAAAAATAGTTACAATATATATACATAAATTTTACAATGTATATAAATATATGTATATAGAAAGTGACTACTCGTATAAATCCAGTTACTGTACGACTAATATGTAATTGTTTGTCAAGTTTTTTTTTTTTAATTTAGAGCATGTGTCAATAAAAATAATATGTATTAGTCATACAATTAATAGTAATAGACAGTTACTGTATCAATAGAGTCATGTATATATGTATATAGGACTAACGATTCACCCTCGCTTCGCTCGGGTTCGTCCCTAGGTTGCTTCCCCATACAAACTTTCATCCTATTTTTCACCCTCTTAAGGGGTGATTTTCAAACTATCTTTTTACCAAATTTCATCTTAATCGGTTCAGTAGTTTCGGAGCTTATTCGGTACAAACAAACAAAGAAACAAAAATTCCTATTTATAATATTACTATAGATTTATTATAATATCTTAATAAGTATTACAACTTTAAATTAAGGTATAGAATGTAACACTCTTGCCAATATATAGCCACGTAGTCGTATATCAGCAAAATTGCGAAACTAATCAAATTTCTAGATAAATGAGTTGCAGCATCAGGATGCTGTCGATACCACCAATTTCCTATAATTACGATGGAACGAAGTTTGCGGACGCCGAGCGCCGCGACAATTTCATTTAACCCAAGATGTTGCGAATATGCGAAATGCATAGATGAATATTATCTGTACTAATATTATAAAGCGTGTTTGTTTGTATGTTTGTCTTTTACTTCATTTTGACGATATGTAAAAACTATATGATATATTTTATTCAGGACTAAAAATAAACTACTATACAAGCAGCCTCTCAAAACAATTTAGTAAGCAAATGATAATAGTTTATATTTTTGTGTAATAAATCACATCTATAATCTATACATATAATAAAATTGTAACTAAGTCGAATCTGTACATTAAATATTTTTTTGGATTATCTTATTAAAATAGTCATTAATATCGATACAGAGGCCGAATCTAAAGGTTTTAGAATTTTTGCATGTCTGTCTGTCTGTGAACGCATCACGAGAAAACTACTGGACAGAGTCAACATATATGATACTGTTTACTGCGGGAAAATATCTCATCTGTGAAAAATGTATATTAAACTTTGAAACGTAACTAAGGACGAACCTCAGCGGAGCGAGGGTGAGTCGCTAGTCTATATCTATATATATAATAAAATTGTAACTATGTCGAATCTGTACATTAAATATTTTTTGGAAAATATAATTGAAATAGACATTATCGATACAGAGTTCGAATCTATAGTTTTTAGAATTTTTGTCTGTCTGTCTGTCTGTCTGTCTGTTACCGCATCACGAGAAAACCACTGGACAGATTTTGATGAAATTTGGTATGATGATAGCTGGTTATCCGGGTCAACATATAGGATACTTTTTACCGCGGGAAAATATCTCATTTCTGAGAAAAAATACAAAAACTGCACTATACTATACTAATATGTAAAACCTAAGAATTTGGTTTTCGGTCATCTAAACGCGGGCGGAGCCCCGGACAATGCTAGTGACATATAAAATAGGGAAGAAATAAGCGATAATGAATCACGAAGTCTCGAATTCGCACGAGTGACTGCTCCAATTTAATTTATTGCATGCATAACAATCGTGTTCCCGCAAACATGTAAATCGACTACATATATAAAACAAATATTATACAATTTTCCTCGTATCGATCTCTTCTATTATTATTTTTCAAAATTTTTGGTAATCTACATTCAGAACTAACAAAAAAATTAAAAACGTTAATCAACAATACTAGTTGGCAATAATAACAAAATGTTAGCAATTTAGGTCTCATATTATAAAAAAACAGATTTTATATGAGACCTAAGCTGATAACATTTTACCTCCGTACAGTTTTTTTTAGAAATAATTCATATTTACATATCTGTATAATTTATTACAATACTAATTATAAAGTACTCTCAAGGTACAAGTTGATGTTAAAAATGGAGAAGTTTCTGATGTTGTTAATAGGTACCATATTTAACGCAATTGAATTATAATAATTATATCAAGATCAAAAGTGATAAATTAGTAAAAATTAATGTTTCGTAATCTAAATAAATAAAAATGTATGTTGGTAAGCGCATAACTCAGAATGGCTGGACCATTTCGGCAATAAATTTTTTCGTATGTTCCTTATGGTCCACGGAAGGTTTTAATAAAGAGAAAAAATGAAAAAGTAAAAAAAAACAAATTATATGGCTAACGCTGGCTAATAACTATTTATATCTATTGAAAACGTACCTAGCGACGAACCCGAGCGAAGCAAGGGTGAGCCGCTAGTCTATCAATGAATTAAATTAAATGTCGCTCGTTCAGGTCGTGTGACGTCGCGAGATTATTATTACAAGCGCTACTTTAGTTTCATAACTTTTTCATTTGTCGAGATATATTAATAATTCTTTCATATTTTTGTTATATTTTGCTTAGTTTTTTATAATTAATACATAAAAAAACTGGACTCTTCTCCATTATGGTGGCAAGTGAAAAATAATATATATAGTATGTATATGTGAATACATTAGAAACAACCGGTATGTAAATTATGGTGTGCGTATAATATAATATACATATATTTATATATATATATACACATAAACGGTGTTTAAATCTACGATGACACATTCGGCTCAGTTCGTAGTGACCCTACTTGCTACGCCAGCGATCGCGGGTTCCAGTCCCGTTGGGGACATTCATTTGTGTGAGGAACACGAATGTTTGTACTCCAGTCATAGCTGTTTATATTTATAATGTTTAATTTAAAGTTATATATGTGTAGTGTATCAACTATCTGTTATCCATAACACAGGCCTCGTAGCTTACCATGGAACTAGAGGGCGCTGTGTTTTAAGGTTCCCAACATATTTATGTATTTACGCATATGTGAGACTTTGCACTTGAACAAAGTCAGAGGAACTCGCTAGTAAGCAAAAAAAATAATACAAAGAGCACTTTTATTTAAATGATCTAGTCACATTAATCCGATACTGATTTATTTAATTGTAAAGATGTTCTTTTTGCAAACTTATTTGACTGCCAATATCGGAGTTCCTATATCTCTTCTGGTTTTGGATTTCCATCTGCATTCTATCACAAACACTCGCAATATTGCTGCGAAGTTCAATCGGTATATCCCTAGCCACAACTTCACGGAGTAAATTATGTTGAGACCGACGTCTTTTATTGCATTTAAATCTCCAAATATTTTCTGTCCTTTTAAATTTACTACGCACTTTCATCATGAAGTTTCTTATGTTTCCTTCTAGCCATTGCCTATGAAACCAAATAATTGTATGAATACAGCACACACATGATAACAGCATAGCGCATATACTTAATACACTTAATATTATACGAAACACAGCAAGTTTACAGCCATCTCTAAAGTCGATTACTTCTTTACAAGGACATAGCTTTCCATACATAAGATCTCTTAGAAGAAACAAATTCTGAGAAATCGTTGAACAGTTAGACTTTAGTTCTATTTTAGAATTATGTACTTTCTCAGTTGTAAAACTCATTGTCCCTAGGCCAGTGCTAAGTGCATAAATATCTTGAAAAGATAATTCTTGCCCTAAGTTCTTGCATATATTTATTTGAGGAACATAAACTATACTGGGAAGCTCTTTACTCCCTTCAGCAATACAATCAGGGGCTTCAGTACATTTGTGAAGTATTTCATCATAGAACGGTCTTTTGCCACTATATTTTAAATCACAATTAGCAGGACAACATTTTCTTAAGGAATCTTGGTCTAGGGTTTTACATTTTACTCCTTTGTCGGTGTTAATATATTTTTTTAAAACTGAATTAGATGTTAGTTTACTTATTACTCTTGTATCAAAAGGTAGATGTGCATGTAATATACCAACTTTTTTTTTACATCGATAGTTTAACACAACATCGCAGTAACCCATAAGGTCGTGTTGATATAAAACAGGAAATACATATATTAAAGTTTTGCGATCTCTAGCCATCACAGTATTATCAAATGCACCGTATACTTCAATCATATCACAATCTTTATTATCTAAATCTATAAGACAGCACTTTTTAATTCTAGAATATACTTTACAGACTGTAATAGGGCTTTTATTTTCGATATCTATAAAAAACTTAATCGCAACAGAATTATTTTGCATAGGCAATATTCCTTTATCAATGATAGCCACTGCTACTATTATTTTGTAAATGGATATTTCTAAGTATAAAAAGCGCAAATAATTTTTGTACGTCATAGCCCTGTCAAAAATGATGTTGTGAATGTATTTGTTTTGAAAGTCATTCCTAAAAAGAGGTAGAATAAATAAAATTAATATAATTTATTGACATATCAAGTGTAGGTGACTTATATTATAATATATTTAATTGATCTATATATTATTTAATTAGTCTATGTATAACTAAATATTCGGTATCCATATTAATATTATAAATGTGAAAGTGTGTTTGTTTGTTTGTCCTTCTTTCACGTCGAATGATGGATTGGCATGATTTTTGTGTGGAGATAGTTGGAAGGCTGGCTGGCAGGCTGGAGAGTGACAAAGGCTACTTTTTACCGCGAGAGATTATCTCATATCTCATTCCCACAGGACGTTATAATAAAACTCAAAAAAATATTTATGATCAGAATTACTTGATACTTAGTATTGATGCTCTTCAATACAATTAAATAAATACGTGTTTTAGGATTTTTCGAAATTCATTCCATAAGGGGGTAAAATAGGGGATGAAAGTTTGTATGAAACCTACCTTTTCAGAGTTTTTTTTGTAGTTGTAGCGCGAGTGAAGGCGTAGGTTCTGCTAGTATATTACATAATTATTTTATTGATTCAAAAATGATCTCTCAGTAAAAAAATGTATTTATTACTCTCATTATTTTATTTTAAACATAAAGCAGCAAGGTTTTATATATATTACTTAACATACAGTAATGCTATGATAATATTAGCAATTATATATCAAATAATATTCTATAGTTCATCCTTATAATTATTGATGTATTCCGATTTTATAAAATCAGCGGCGCGTTCAGCAATCATCATTGTCGGAGCATTCGTATTAACACTCGTTATGGTCGGCATAATACTAGCATCTACTACTCTCAAGCCCTTTACTCCTAATACTTTCAACTTGCTATCTAATACACTTGTGGGGTCATCAGGTCGTCCCATTTTAACAGTACCAATAGGATGATAAACATTATAAGTTAAAGTTCTAGCCATACATTCCCAATATTTATCACTTCCAAATTCAAAGCCATCGCAGTCTTTAAATTGTATCCTTTCTAGTTTTGCTTGAAGTCCTTTCATAGTTTCAGTGTCAACAATTTCAGTTACACGCTTCACATTTTTGACAAAAGTAACCATGTCTTGATCATCATTGAAGTATTTGGAATATATTTTTGGATAATCTTTCGGATTATTAGAACGGAGCAGTATTTGCCCTCTCGAAACTGGTCTGCATAATGACACAAAAAATATTATCATTTCCCTATTTTCATTCATCTTTGAAAATTGCTTACAAATATCTTTCGTAAATGACATTATATCTCTACACATAGAATAAACATAGGATGTATTTGGTACAAAATAGTTGTGATCTATTTGTACATCAGGTATTTTTTTCCCATCAGGTACTGATATAAAAGCGTTTATATTAGGTTGATCATAATTTGTAGCATAAGGTCCATTTTGATCGAGCAAATACCGTGCTGCTGCTTTATACCAATAATCTACAGATTTTGGCACTGCGCCTGTATTTAAAGTAATTGGAATAGGAATTCTTACATGGTCTTGTAAATTGTAGCCGACTGGTAAGTTTACTTTTACATCTATGTCAAATTCTTCCAAATGGGTCTGTGGTCCTATTCCTGAGACCATCAGTAGCACAGGGGTATTAACAGATCCAGCACTTAAAATCACTTCTTTGGATGCATAATATGTTGCAGTTTTACCATTTGACAATGTAACATTTATTCCAATGGCTTTTAAATCGTTGAAAACAATCCTATCAGCAAACGTATTTTTGAGAAGGTATAAATTTCTACGATCTCTGGCAGTATTTAAAAAAGCAGTCGCAGTGCTTACCCGTCGTCCATTATAATTTCCACCTCGTAGTCTTCCAACTCCCATCTGCGTATGACCATTTAAGTCATCTAAATATGATAACCCCATCTCAATATAAGCCTTAGTAATACTGTCAACTACGGTAAGATGAGTAAAATTTAATCGATCTATAATAAATTTACCATCAGTACCATAATTGAATTTTAAATTTGTGTTATTTAAAATATAAGGATCAATTATTTTCTCACTCTTCATAAAATACTTTTTAATATTGGACCAATCCCATCCGTTGTCATTTTCAAAGTTCCAAGGTTCGTAGTCTCCAGGGCTTCCTTTCATATGAAGAAGACCGTTTATGGAGCCAGTACCACCTAACATTCTCCCTCTAGGCCAAAATGATTTTCCACCAACACAACCCCTATTCGTCGTTTCGTCTTTCTCGGTGTAATACTGCCATACTTGTTCACTCTTATGTAATGCTCCAGAAAAATTTGGAATCTAGAATTAAAAGCAATAAAATAAATAATAATATAACTATAAACTTTCCCAGACTTAAATTATTGTTTTAGAACATAAAACTTATGCAAGATGGCTGTAAAGCAATTAAATAAGATTAATATTCAAACTATATGAAATTAAATAACTTAGATATTTTAGTTATTTTTATTTAAAAAGAATTAACTTCTTCTAAACTAGGGTTTTAGACAAGATATCCTTACAAAATACATGAGAATTCATATTATGTAGTGTATATGTAGTGTCTCTAAAATTTTTATACTCAGATTGTACATTTATATCTTGCCTAAGCCCCCCTGATTTTTCATTTTTATGTATGAATACTTACAATGCTCTCAATGGGAGGATCGCCGCCGGCTTCTACTAAAAGAATTTTCCATTTCTCGAGTTCTGTTAAACGATTAGCCAAAATTGATCCTGCAGTTCCAGAACCAACAATAATAAAATCAAAATTTTCGCCATCTGAAATTAACAATTGTGTATTACAATTTGTACAACATTACATAATTTCACCAATAATTCATTAGATTCAGCCTCCGAACTTTATTTAGAGGAATTTTTTATCATAATCATATTATAATGAGGAGGGAAGTTTGTAAGTTTGTGAGTTTGTTTGTATGAAGTAATTTCTAGAACTACTGAACAGATTTAGATGAAATTTGGTAAGAAGATAGCTTGAAACCCTGGGAATCCCTTTTTATACCGGAAATCACCCTCTAAGGGGTGATTTTTATGGGGGAATCAACCTAAGGACGAACCAGAGCGAAGCGAAGATGAGTCACTAGTAATTATGATATAGCAAAACGGTAAGACTATTAATCTTTATAAATTATTTATTTAGGTACTCATATTGTAGAGTTCTGAGAAAGTTATGAGACGTCATTTACTTTTGAAAAATAAATAGTCTGGGTCACGATGTTAGAGTCGATATGCACGAGTATGTACGAGTTGTAAGAATATGGCGTACTTTAATTATTTTAAGGTCATAAAATTAAATATCATAATACTAAATTAAATTAAAAAATTTAAAAACCTCCGATATATAAGTTGCCATTTTGTGGTGGCGGCCATCTTGGAATTTTATCATAGTGTATAGTATTCTACTAGTCAAGCTGTTACATTTGATACCCATATTGAAGGAGTTGTAAAAAAATATGTCCGCTATTTTGTGGCGGCGGCCATCTTGGATTTTCATCGAACATAACTAAGAACACTCCCAACTAATTCAGCTTTCAAACAAAAAAAAAACAACATCAATATTGGTTCATCCGTTCGGAACCTACGATGCCACACACAGACACATCAAACTAATAACACCCCGTCGTTTTTGAATGGGGGTTAAAAATTAATTATTATCGATTAACTTAGAAAAATTTTGAGTGTATTTCTTGCATTATTTGTTTAATTCTATTCCCGACTCAGGAAGCTTCTTAAGTCTTTGAATGCTTATAAAAGTTATTCGTATTTTCAAAAGCTAAAAAGTATTTCCTCTGACTAGACTTGATATCTACCTACATTTAAGATACATTTCCTCCATATCTCTTTTGTTTGTTCCGCTATGTATACAGTCCGTTGCAAATATTTGGAAAGACAATCTAAACATTAACTTTGAAAACAGAGTAGACGTTACTAATTCGGGCATTATGTTACATTAATGATTTATATAATAAGAAAATATACGAAAGTGGAGTGGCAAAACAGAAGCATTTACGAAATCAAGAAAAATGCTTAAAAATTATTCGTCGATTGGTGGATGGTCAGGCGTACTCCAACTCTTATATTATACTTGACCTTAACAGAGCATCGAACTTCGGATCTTCGGATCATTAGACCAACGAGGCAGAGGCAAAAATCCCCGGGTGGCGGATAGGGGAATGCCACTCGCGACTGTTCCCCCAGACAGGAGCTTGTGGTACCGGAGCAATCCGGCGCGGACCAACAGCCAGGAGGGGCAGGGGGAGCGGTGTCAGGAGGGCGCCGTCTCCTCCTTGGAGGTAGCGCGGTGTCTCCGGCCGTTTTGCGGTAGGAGGCGCTGCGCGGGCCGTGCTGCCGGGGCTAGCCCGTCGGTGCGGTGGCTGGAGCGGGGCCATTTCGGTGGTCCTGCGTCTGGCGTGGTTGTCGGCAGCCATCTTGGTCCGGAGGTGGGCCGACGGTAGGGGGGCCGCGGGGGAAGAGGAGTGTCGGTATGGCGATGCGCCGCTCGTCCCTATCTCCCGCGGCCTAGCGGGGCCACCACCGTTAGATGGTGGACGCGGTGGGGCTGCAGAGGAAGAGGAGTGTCGGTGTGTCGTTGCCGCTCTCCCTGTCCTCTGCAGCCGATTGGAGGTGGCCTACTTCGGTGGGCGGAGGTTGGATTTGATGGGGCTGCTCCGGGTACCTCTCTGGTGTAGCAGAGTTGACTGTGGAGCAGCCTCATCGGTATGGTGGTCAGCCATTGGCAGACCTGCCGCCGGGGCGCCGTAGTAGTTATGCGCGAGCGATCCTGCGGCGTCCCATTAAGGCGGAGGGGAGGGGAATGTCGGGTTTTAGTGGGTAGTACCGGCTCTTCTAGCCGGTGAGCCCCACATAACCACCTGGGGGGGGAGGGGGGGTTTATCAGGTGGCATGCGTAAATGCATTTCCCGACAAAAAAAAAAAAAAAAAAAGGCAGAGGCAAAAATGAATAAAATTATTTAAAGTCAAAATAATTGGGAAACTTTATACAAAAACTATTCTGCCTAGGCAAAATCTTATTTAAGTTTGCATGATATAATTTAGAGTTTAACTGTTCGTCTATATCTTACAAAATACCTTTAACGAGATGACTGTGGTCCTGTGGCCAAGGTTCTGTGATGAGACACTGAGCAGTAAGCAAATGAGTAACTAGATTGGCGAAGGTGGAACCAACTGGACCTTGATTTACACATGCACTTATACACGACATCACTTCAATGCTCAATTCTCTGCAAATAGAAATATTATGGTATTAACCATAAATCAAAAAATCCGTTTGGGTTTTAAGAGATAGAAATGAAGCATTGTAATCAGCCTTTTACCTCCCAATACAGACTACGGGCCTCCCTTTAATACGTAGGGGATCAGGACATAGCCCACCATGTTAGCCAAGTGCGGGTTGGCGGACTTCACATCTCTTGCGAAAGCTCATAAGTTCTCTCAAACATGCAGGTTTCCGTAAGACAAGTGGTAATCATGTTGGAATGATTCGCACATGAAAATATCAGAGGAGCGATTCCCGGTATTTGAACCCGCTTCACTCGATTCCCCAAGCGAGCGCGTTACCACTATCCGAGCTAAATGAAGCATTGTAGAATACTATTTTACAATAGTCATTTATCTCGTAGCATATTATGTAGTAGTTACTTCAAAATAACAAAATTCTCATAATAGTTTATCTCCTTTACGATTGCGACTAGTTTATAAACAATTATTTACCTGCGACTTTACACGTGCAAAATTCTCGTTAAAAATCGTCTCGTTAAAAAATCATGCATGAGATTATACTAAAAAAAAACTATTTTTAGTATAATCCCTCGGCATCGGCATAATTTTTATAGCCTATAAACGTTCTTAAAGAAATATAAAAAGAAATAAATTGCGGCATTCAGTTCCTATCAGCAGGAAACAGACAAAAAATTAAAATTACCTTATTCTCTCTATTCTTATGTCTATAATTATTAATTACAATTTAAGTTTAATAAAAGTTTTTAGCCAACATAAGCAAACCAACTGACACACAACAGACAGAATAATTTTATTATATGTATATAGACAGAACTTCACTTAGAGCGGGCCATATACATACCTAATGATTCTAATCTATGAATTGTAGTTGTTTTAACTTTAACAATAATTTAATATCTATACTATAATAAAACAGTAGAGGTCGAATGTCTGTACATAGAAAAAAATGCTAAAAACCGATTCAGGGGGATGTAAGAAGACAAATAGGACAAATCCAGATTTTTTCAATTTTTTTGTTTCTCTGTCTGTTTGTCTGTTTGTACGGGCTAATCTCCGAATCTATTAAACCGATTTAAATGAAATTTTGCTTGATGGTACCTTATATCCCCGGGCAACATCTTGGACACTTTTCATCCCGGAAAATTAAAGAGTTCCCGTGGGATAGTTAAAAACTATAGTAACTTATACAGCTTAGTACACATCAACTTATGAACATAATTTTGTAGAATTTGGCATGCTGATATTGCCGGTCAAACAACAGGTTACATTTTATTCCGGAAAAATGAACGGTTCCCGTGAGATAGATCTGCTTGTGCTTTTCTAGAGGCGAACCCGAGCGAAGCGAGGGTGAGCCGCTAGTCTCACATATATTTTTAAGAATTTACTATAACTTCGAGCAAAATGAAAACTATAAATAATAACATAATTAAAGGAAGTAATAAAATAAAAATATCTCACCCGATGTAGAAGATTTAGTCGATAAGATATACAAAAAAGTTAAAAAATTAAAACAACATATCTAAATAAGCTGTATATAAAATTGTCTTTGTGCCTACTCGAACTCTGCCTTGCTCAGTACTGATAACGATGCTAAATATAATTTATCTGTAAGCAACAATCATGTAATAACCTATCACTAATATATTAATTTAACTTTGCAACTAAAGACTTGTGTATACAACCATACTTACGCCATCTCGGTCAGTAGTTTTTGTGTTAAAGAGTAACACAACTAACATGCATGCATCCTCACAAACTTTCGTATATTATAAGGATTTATTAATTTAATTTAACACTGAGTATTTCATTTAATTTTAAATCTTCAAGATAAAATAAGAAGTTTTGAAAATTGGGACATTTCCAGTAATACAAGCGATCGCGAATTCATTTTTTTATGGTGCACTCAATTTGTTTTAATATGACGTTACGAACTGAAGTTTATCTGTTCACCACCAAATTTTTAACCCGTTGACTGCGATCCAAGGCCAAGGTTCTGTGATGAGACGATGAGCAGTAAGCAAATAGACGACCAGATTGGCGAAGGTGGCACAAACCAGACCTTGATTTGCACATGTATAAACGCACTATTTATAAACGATATCACTTCAATGCTCAATTCACTGCAAATCGAAAATTATTGTATTACTTTAACTCATCGTATAAGTAGTGTTGCCTGAAAATATTCATATCTTTCGTTAATATTTTTATTTATTGTTTTTAGTGGTATCTCATGATGCGTTCCCAGACAGATAGATAAGACGATAAATTTAAAAGCTATAGATTCGGCTTCTGTATCGATAATAATTACTGTTTCAATAAAAATTTCCAAAAAATATTTATGTACAAATTCGACTCAGCCAGAATTTTATTATATGTATACATAGGCCTTTATATTGAGAGATTTATCAAAACAATAGAGATAAAATAAAAAAGAAAAATAACTGTAAGACAATGTTATAAAAATATACTGTTTGGCGATTAAAAAAATAACGTTTGGGAATAAAAGATTTATATGACTTTTTACTTAAGCTCAGCCTTGCTAAGTACTGATAAGATACAAGTATGTATACTAAATCTATACATATAATAAAATTGTAACTAAGCCGAATCTGTACATTATATATTTTTTGGAAAATCTAATTGAAAAAGACATTATTATCGATACAGAGTCCGAATCTATAGTTTTTAGAATTTTCGTCGGTCTGTCTGTCTGTTACCGCATCACGAGAAAACCACTGGAGGGATTTTGATGAAATTTGGTATGGTGATAGCTGGTTATCCGGGTCAACATATAGGATACTTTTTACCGCGGGAAAATATCTCGTTTCTGAGAAAAAATACAAAAACTGCATTGTAAAAGTACTAATATGTAAAACCTAAGAATTTGGTTTTTGTAATCTCAACGCGGGCGGAGCCGCGGGCAATGCTAGTGTAATATAAAATATTCTCTACAAACAATTACCATGCAATTACAAATCAACGTGATATTTAACGTTAGCTTTGATAATCGAAGCTAGATTAGCATTATCATAAACGCAAATTAAGATTAAATTGCATAGTTAAGAGGATACTATAGAGCTACGAGTATGTATTAAATATGGTCATTGAACAAAATGCACAAATTAATGGAAAATTAATAATTATAAATAAAAAATGTCATTTTCTTAATAAATATTCTCGTACACTGTTCTACGTATCAAATAAATAAATATATTAAGTACTAGCATTGCCTGCGGCTCCGCCCGCGTTCAGATGACCAAAATCCAAATTCTTAGTATACTCTTACAATGCAGTTTTTGTATTTTTTTCTCAGAAATGTGACATTTTCCCGTAGAAAAAGTATCCTATATGTTGACCCGGATAACCAACTATCACCATACCAAATTTCATCAAAATCCCTCCAGTGGTTTTTCTGTGATGCGGTAACAGGCAGACAGACAGACAGGCAGACAGACAAAAATTCTAAAAAGTATAGATTCAGCCTCTATATCGATAACAATGTTTATTTCAATAAGATTTTCCACAAAATATTTAATGTACAGATTCGGCTTAATTACAATTTTATTATATGTATGGATATTTAGTGGATTAACTAAATTTTGTAAATGTTGGTATCAGTTTTAACTCTTTGTATTTTTGTTTGTAGCGAGTAGCTAAAATAAAGTTTTTATTTTCTTTGGTATTTTGATTTGTTGGAAATAAATCTCAATTTGTTTTTATTACACTAAAGCAAAACTTTAAAAATATTACTGTCACAAAAAGTTTTATTTAGCTAAAAAAAATTGTGGTATCGAAGGCTTGGTCGGCATTTTGAGGTACCAAAAAATTACATTTATTGACCTTTATTTTCACTTATATTTAGTTTTTTTTTGTTCTCACTCAGTTTTTGGACTTTGATTTATTACACCATTTTTTTTGTATAATTACTATTTCAGGACGAAGATGAGGACAAGCGTTGGATCTCAATACCTACTAAATAATTTAGAATCTTGTAACGAAATACTTAGAATGTTAATTTAATAATGAAAATATGTTAATTTTTCCGGGAAAATATAAGTTCCCGCCAGTTTATACGTTTACTGCAACCTCAGATGTAATTTGTTCTACAAGTTCTGTGCAGTATAATTTAATCAAACGATTGAATTTGACATGTTATATAGTGGTCGCGCTCCAGTTGCGTGCAATCATTAATTGACCCTAGTTAATTATGCCTGTTTGTTCTAATATTCTAAATATATCTTATATATTAAATTGACTGTTTATTAATAATTTTGAAATAAATAGCCTCTACTTCATAATCTGCCTGTTTTCTTCGACTGCTGGACAAAGGTCTTTAAACTATTATTAAAACCTACTATTTTCCAATATGGCGACGCGAGCAGCAAATATACGAAGAGGTTAAGTAGAAAATCAGTAAGAGCACGCAAAATCTACAAAATTACTAGTTTCCAAATCTCCCGCGAAACTTTCTAAATAATAATAAACCCTTTATTGTAAACCCAAAAAAACAAAAGAAAATATACAAAATGTAGAAGAAAGTACAAGAGGCGTAAGAGCTAGGTAATAAAGCACTAATGATTGTCCTATAAACTGTTTGTGTGTGTTTTTAAAATAAAAAAAATTAAAAGATATCTCTAGGTCATCAATGTCAATGAAACAGATTACTATATTTTATTTGTTTATCATTACTATGTGTACGTGCATCACAAAAACTAAGAAGACGTTTAAACAGGTCAGTAGGACGCTTTTTACTTTAGAGCAATTAAAATTAAAATTAGCTAAAGCTTTCAATCGGTGATATTGAAAAATATAACTTAAATTTTCCTGATATTATTGATGGAGTAACTGTAGACTGTGGACATAATATGTACATATATGTATATAGTGCATATATATGTATATGCGACCGAAGCCGTAACCGGAAGGCTCGATGTAATAGCTTGCGACATTATAATGTTTAGTTAATTATGTCTCAGTTAGTCCTTTATAAGGAAATTAATCTCTAATAACTTTTAATAAATTTCTTTTTGTTCTAATAAATTACTAACTTAGATCTTCTTGGTGGGATATAAAACAATGACTTAAATATTTCTAATGCTAATCTTAGGACAATTGAAGTAAATATTTCTTAACAAAAATGGAGAGTCTATGAATTTGTTAAGAATTTTGAATTATCTAAAGGAAATACCTACATTTAAAAACTAAAATATGAAATAAAAAAAACTTTATTATTTATGTATTTATTGCGGATAATAGATTACATTTTTGTATTATATTTTTTATTCATTATTAGCTTCTAGTCAAAATTTATACAGTGATATAGACTGTTACATTGTTGTGATTTAATCATTTATAGACTATCACTTTGTTGGTTGTAATGTAGTCGTATATATGTACTAGCGACTCACCCTCGCTTTTCTTTGGTTCGTTTCTGAGTTGATTCCCCATACAAACTATCATCCCCATTTTCACCCCCTTAAGTGATGATTTCTGTTATAAAAAGTATCCTATGTCCTTCCTAGGGTCTCAAACTATATTTTTATTAAATTTCATCTAAATCGGTTTAGTAGTTCCAGAGATTACCTTCTACAACCTCACAAACTCACAAACTTTACCTCTTTATAATATTAGTATAGATTATATGGTTCGATATTGTCGTATATAGGCTATCACTTGATTGTGATGTAGTCGTATATCACAAGGAATTGGATCAGTACTTAGAAGCATTTGTTTGCATAAATCTTGCATCTTTTTCACAGATAAAAGCACGCTCTTCACTACAAAAATCATCATTTAAATAGCCCTCACGGTTTACGTTGCCACAATTTTTTCGTCTAACCGTATACGTATTGTTGAGCGCTCCTTTGTGCCATGAAGCGTATCCAGAATCTTTTAAACTTTCACCTAAAAAGGTTATTACTATTATTTACCTTTATATTTAATTTTAATTATTCAACACTGGGCTCCACTAGGTTTTATACTAAAGACATGGACTTCATAATTCGGTGCATGACATATTTTTTTGTGTTATTTTTGGTAAGGGAAAGATGCTATCAATCTAGCACTTGGTATACAAACAGTCTTTAAGAAACCTCGTAAAAGAACAAAACCCAATTAAAGTTTTTTACAACAAGTTAAACTCACCATGAATCGTATACCACTGTCTGTTACGTTCCCAGTCAAAAATACCGACACTCATGACATCTGGATTTTCAGATTCAATAGTGTAACGACTATGACTTGCAAAAATTTCTTTTAGCACTTGTACCTCAGCTTTATTATTAATTATTGCTAAGTACGCTTGCTCTGCAAAGCAAGTATTGTACGCTTCCCACCACGACTTTGCTTCAACATGGAACTTATAACAGCTACCCGTTCTCCAATCTAATACGTAATCTATAAAAAATAATTTAAATATAAAAGCAATACCATTTCCTTTTTTTGAACGTTGGGAAATGCATTTATTTACGCATAGCACCTGCAATGCATACAACTAATTATATGGAACTCACCGACAAAACTAGTACTACCAACTAAAACTCATAAGAACCTCTCCCGACTTATTGGGGCGTCCCACTGCCGGTATTGAAAAAACAGGTTGTTGTATCATATAATTCGTATCATCATATAATATGTAATCACCTTTATCAAAGGTTCCACATGATGTTAATTCCGGACCACCGTTATCACGTTTATAGCAGACATAAGGATGCGCCTTTCCCCAACAACTGCCGCTCACCATAAATCCATCCACCAACACTCCACAGGAGAGGTCAGAGTTGTCCCATGGACTAACATCCGGATGATCCATATCCACATGTAATAGGCTTCCTTTAAATATAATTTTTAATATAAATCTACGAAATTTTCTTAAAAATTCTAATCTTCATCATTCTATGAAATTATTTTTGATATGTTTAATTGTAATAGTAATTTGAGTAAAAGTATAGTAAAAAGTATAGTAAAACCTTCAATTGATTGCCATATTTTACTGGAAAATGTTGAGTGTACTCCGATGTGGATCCGATCAATACCATAGTGTTCTATATAATTATATAACGAATGTTTTAATGTGTCATCCACAGGTGATGCTAAAATCGCACCTATAATAGAAAAATAACATTTAAACATCGATCAAAAAAGTACTACTCGTAGATACACAATCCCATGCAAAATTCTCTTAAAACTGTCACTAATTGTGTTTAGGTCATTATTCTAGGTGAAATAAATATACAATAATGTAAATTAAACCATAAATGCATGCTTCAAGTTGTTTTCACAAAAAATATAGTTATTTTCTCATTTGAACCTTTGAGCGCGCTTCTAATGAAGCGCGCTCAAATGTTCAAATGAGCGCTCATTAGGCGAAGACATTTTTTGTCGCTGATTGTGTATCTAGTACTTTTTAATCAATTGATTTAACCTTCTCTACCTTACAGCGAGAAGCACACGATGGCATTTCTATTCTCACTATATTTAAAACTAGCAGACCCACATGTTGCTGTAGCACGCATAATATGAAAATCGTTAATTTTGCAATAAAAAAAGGAAATAATTGGGATAAAAACGATCCTATATTTTAAGTTGAAACAAAACACAGATTTTGAAAGTTAAAGTTAGTTTTGGAGTATTTTATATTTTACGATTTTATAATATTCTAAATCGTTCCTTAAGCTATTAAACACTAATGCTGATAGCACGACAACAAAAATATTATAGATAACAAAATATGTGTTTATTGTTATACTGAAAGGCTGTTGCTATTTGTCCGATAATTGGATGATTAAGAAATAGTTATTCGTTCGACTATCGTCGTTTCGTACGGACATCTATCACTTTTTTGTTGTCTAACGTAGAATTAGTTATTTTTAGGTGCAAGAGTTACAAAAAAAACTTTAACCTACCGAGCTGAAAACTTATTGTTTTCGATCCCAACGGTTTTTATGTTCAAATGTTTTTATGTGCAAACTAAAGAAAAGTGCAGCTTAAAATGTATTTTATTAGTAGAATACTAGCTACTCACCCTCGCATCGCTCGGGTTCGTCCCTAACTTTATTCCCCATACAAACTTTCATCCCTATTTTTACCCCCTAAAGGGTTGATTTCCGAGATAAAAAGTATCCTAAGTCCTTCCTATAGTCTCAAACTATCTTCTTACCAAATTTCATCTAAATTGGTTCAGTAGATCTAGAGATTACCCCCTACAACATCACAAACTCACAAACTTTATCTCTTTATAATGCAAGTATAGATTACTGCATCATAATAAAACAAGATAATTATAACCTATCGGCGATAGATATTTTTAATTTAAGTCCATTCCGATTTTATTCGAAACTAAAAATTTTAACTATCAATACAGTCGGACGAATATATATTTTTTATTCATCCGATTTATCGGACGAATAGACATATCGATACAGAAACAAGCTTTTATCGGTTACACATTAGGGATTCTAAAACTTATAAGTTATAGCCCGTTAAATAGTGTCGTATCTGCTAGCATTATTATGATTTAATTATATTATAGTAACTAGTCTATACTCTATATTAATACTATAAAGAAGAAAGATTTTTTGTTCGTCTGTTTGTTTGTACCAAATAGGCTCCGAAACTACTGAAACGATTTAGATAAAATATGCTAAGAAGATAGTTTAAGACCCTGAGAAGAACATAGGATAGATTTTATTCCGGAAATCATCCCTTAAGGGGTGAAAATGGGGATGAAAGTTTGTATGGGAAAGCAACCTAGAGATGAACCCGAGCGAAGCGAGGGGAGTCACTAGTGTAATATATTTATACTTTGATCATATTTAGTAAAGCAACCCATCTGCGAAAATTGTTTAGATATTATGTATTACATTACATATTTTTCATCAAGTAAGTGGATGGGTGGAGGACGACCTCATTTCGGATAATAGATTCCGAAACACCATGTAATAAACGGATTTTAAAAATAAATTTTATTTTTGTTTTGAAATAAATAAAATTTACTTATATATACCTTCCAAGTTACACATCTTGCGTGCTTCATGCCAGGTAGTTTTTACTCTGTGGAGTTTAAACCAAACCTTCGCATCTTCATCATATTGATAATCCAAATTTAAATACTTGGCTTCTGCAAGAAAGATTAATATATATGTACTATATATTTATCGGTTTCACTCACTTGTATCGGATAATTAAATATTTTTGAACTAAAACCAACCAGTCGTTGAAAGTTATTATTCCAACAGTATTATAATATTTATTAATTAAAAGAATCCAATGTTATTTTACTATAGATGATAGATTTTTTTAAATAAAACTATATTTTCGGATTGTTTCGCGGATTTATTTTGATTTTTGGTTCCCGACGTTTCGAATGCGGGAGAGACTGAGGTGTTACATGTCTTGAATGTATAGTTGTTACAGACAGCCTACCCACAATTAATAATATGAAAATTGCACCAATTACATTACAATATTTTTTAACTTTAAACATTTTTATAATTTTAATTATAATTGAATATGGAATATTATTTATTTAATTTTTAATATTATTTTTATAATTATTACAATTTTAAAAATATTAAATAGTAATCTATAATTAGTGCTGCCATTATTATATTTATCACCATAAAGAAAAATATAAAATATAGTATTAATTATTTAAAAATGAAAAAATTATATCTACTTATCAGATTAATATTTTTCATTTTTCATTTGTAAAAGTATATAGTAATAGTGTTGCTTAGTAAGTTGTTTTTAAATAATAGCAAACTAAATTAAAATTATTATCCTTAATTAATTTTAACTTTTTAAATTACACATAGAACAATTATATGGCTTAAATAATTAATACTATATTTTATATTTTTCTTTATGGTGATAAATATAATAATGGCAACTCTAAATATAGATTACTATTTAATATTTTTAAAATTGTAATAATTATAAAAATAATAGCAAAAATTAAATAAATAATATTCCATATTCAATTATAATTAAAATTATAAAAGTGTTTAAAGTTAAAAAATATTGTAATGTAATTGGTGCAATTTTCATATTGTTAATTGTGGATAGCTATACCTTCAAGACATGTAACACCTCAGTCTCTCCCGTGACCATGGATGCTGTAAAGCAATCGAAACGTCGGGAACCAAAAATCTAAATAAATCCGCGAAACAATCCGAAAAGATAGTTTTATTTAAAAATGTCAAACATTCGCGTAAATCTAAGAAAGTATTATAGATGATAGACTTAAAGAACTCACCCACGTAGTAAATCGCAAAAATCAAAATAATATACTGCAAAATCTCCATGATACGTTATTTCCTTTTGAAAAGTAATTTCTAAGTAATAATATACTTGAAAGTTTATATATAAATAAACAGGGCCATGCGGTACTATTATGCAAAGAAGCAGCCACATCAGGAGGCAGGAAATAGGGGCGTCATAAAATTTATCTAATAAATAGTACTAAAATATATAAAATAAAATTTAAAAATAAAGACACAAGTCTCTGTAAAAGGCCAATTTCATTCAAACTAATGAGATTATTATCATTTATATGTAACGCCGTTTACCGCCCTAAAAACAACTTAACTACGAAAGCACCGAATTCTAGCTTAAATAAACATCTGCGTGAACTGCAATTTTAGAAGTCGTCAACAGAGAAAGAGAACCATAAACGCAGTTATTACGTACGCATTTTTATATTATGTATGTGTAATAATAATGAAGCATACCTAACATCCTGCTACATCTTTTAGCATTGACGTAATTATATATAAATAAAATACGCGAGCGGATTCGCGTGTAAAAGAAAGTCAATATTGGCTTTCTGCAGTCCTTCTCTATATAAACTTTTACTATGCCAAAGCTCATATTCCTCCCTACATGCAATATGCTTAAAAAGGGGTTCAAAGTTTTCTCTTCACATAATAATATATGCATTTATGTATGTATTTAAAACTTGTATATGTGTAGTGTATCAACTATATGGTATCCATAACACAAGCGTCGTAGCTCACTACGGAACTAGATGATGTGTGTTAATGTCCCAACGTACAAGATGTCTCTCTGACTGTACCTTTAGCTCTGATATACTCGTAGTCTCGAGCCGATGGTACAATTGGAACAGTCTTACATTAAGACTTTCAGGAGTTCTAGTCACTGAGTCTAGGTTCTATTATCAAATGTTCTTCTATAGACCATATATTATATTGTCTTCAAGTTTCTTTATCACGTTCATGTACTGCTTTAAACTATCTCGTTGGTCTAGTGGCTGGTATGTATGACAGGGTTCAAGTACTAGATCAGTTCAAAATGGTTATAGGTCTTATTTTATAGAATATCATGAAATAGTCTAAAGTTGCTGATGTACAATAAAATATTTATTATCTCATACTTCGTATATTTTTTTCAAATAATGCCTTAGTTTTATTGATAAAAAGGTCACACAAGAGACAGCAATGTCTCGTTACAGGTAATCGCTATTTCTATAATCTATTAAATTGGTACAATAACACTTCAAAACAAGCTTTTTCCTGCTATCTCGCCCGCGCTGTCTCCACTGTATAAGACCTGATGGTGCGAAAATTATAGACTGCACAAACAATTCTTTCGCTATTTTCCGTAGATGTGTGTATGTGTGATTGATAAACATTCTTACTCTATTTCATGCCAAAATCTTATAGAAAGGAGCACTTTCAGTTTTTCCCAAATTCCTCAATTTCAGGCTAATTTTCCCTATAAATCTCGTGATGACTATTACGAAAATAAAAAAAATCTGTATAACCGTTCTCAAAGTTTCGTTTACCAACCCCTTACGAACAGCATTTCATTTTGTTCTATAGATAGGAATTGACAGACAGGTCAAGAAGCCAGCTTATATACGGCCGTAAAGTATATTTTAACCTAGTTATTACTAAAATAACATTTCACCATGTATATAAAGCTTCAAATACGTCACCACACTTAGTTGTACGATAGTTCCTCAAAGAAAATAACATCTCATGGAGTTCTTACAGTATATTATTTCGATTTGCACTCTCTACTTCGTGGGTAAGTGCTTAGCATTAATTACTTATAGTTTAATAGAGGTTTATAAATTAAATAAAATGTAAAAAAAATAATTAAACGCTGATCGTTTGGTTAAAAGTAGGGTAGCGACCCCAGAACTCGGCCACGCATCAAAGCTCAGCCTTATCTTGCTTTAAACGTATAGGAATAACGATACAATTTAAGGCAATCAAATTATACCTACTCAGCTCAGAGCCTTGTCATTGGTAAATTAAAAATGCACAAGTTGGCGTGAGTACTCAATACAAAGAGAAAGAGTCCATTTCAATATTGTCACCGGACAAGGCAGCCGCCATTTTATTCCTAACCTTTTGTTAAAAAAACAACAACAAAACATACTTATTTCAATATTTTATAATTTTTTTGTAAATAATATGTAATTTATGTGGCAAATTTAGATAGTAATATCCTATTTAATTAGTCTCATTATAAAATAATGGTTATAGGTACTCAAAACTCAAAGAACAATCAAACAATTTACGTAAATATTGGCATGAATGAATGAGTTGTTGTTTTTGATGATTTTTCAGAAGACATCCATCACTGACTGACAACTGGTTACAGCAAAATTTTTAGTTTTAGGTATTCTTAGTATCAATAAATAGCTATTTAATAACTATTTATAATAATATAATATAATAATAAAAGTCTTTATTTGCTGACCATTCGTAGAGTAATTATAATTTACATATGTGGTACTTAAAAATAATAATATTTAAAATCTAATTTTAAAATAATTTATTAAGCAACCAGTTTGTTGGTTAGGTTGTCCTTCGACATAGGCCTCCCCCATTTTCTTCCATTCATCTCTGTTCCGCGCTAACCTTCTCCATCCTGTTGGTAATTCATATTCCTAACTATTTACTTTATATTAAACATGTCATACATAATTTTAACAAAACTCCAGTAGTCAGTCACCTTAACAATGGCAAAATTATCTGTGGTTGAGCATTTTGTGCTAAAAACATAGTAATCAACCCTGAGATATGGATTTTTACTAGTTTTCTATTTTGGTTTTATCTTTGAATTAAAATGTTTTTTTGCATGTGAAGTCGCTTTATTTATTTTCAGATTTTAGTCATGTCTCTTCCTAGGCCAATATTGCAATATTCAAAAGATAAACTGACGCAAACTTTAGATTCTTTAAGAAACGGCATGAAAATTTAAGAAATCAGCAGAGTTTATAATGTTCATGTTAAAAATATTTCATTTATTCTTTATTTCTTAACAGAGCTTTGCAAAAAGCAAGTAACAGAAGAATAACATTAAGATATGAAAAAGAACTTACAAATTTTTTAGACAATAATAGGTAATACTGATTAATAAAGCTTTAAATAATGAAGAAACTTATATTAGAGATTTTTTGTGGTATATGTACATATGTATATTCCTAACTAGTTCAAACATTAATTACTTAACATATTACTAAAATTTAGTATAGATTTCACAAAGATGAGATATTTTCCCGCAGTAAAAAGTATCCTATATGTTGACTATAGGTTCGGCTTCTGTATCGATAATAATGACTATTTCAATAAGGCTTTCCAAAAAATATTTAATGGAACAGATTCGACACAATCAGAATTTTATTATATGTATAGATTATTGGTTTCGTATAATTAAAAAAAAAGTGGTGTCGGTTAATAGGCTGACTACTGGGTTCAGGACTTTATGGTACTTATAAATAAAGATTAATAAAATATAAAGAAATAACTATCTGGAAATGTTATTTTTGCAGAGGCCAAATTTTCAGACCTGATTTATCAATACGATGAGAACGCGAAGGTTTGGTTAAAACTCCACAATATAAAGACAGATTGGCATCAAGCGAGAAAAGTATGCAATATGGAAGGTAAGTTAAATCATTTCATTGTTTATATTCTTTACTGAAAAATGAAATCTAAAAATGAAAAATATATTACATTAGGAGGATAATGAATATTTGAATTTTGAACTAAAACTCCAAAAAGATTGCTTTATTAAAAAAAACGCATATCTTGAATATGGTTTTTTTTAATAAAGCTATCTAAGCTAAATGTAAGAAAGTATAATTTTGTATTTTAATTATTATAGGTGCAATTTTGGCATCGCCTTTGAATGAAACGCTAAAAGATGCATTGGATGCTTACTCAGAAGCCTACGATATTGATCAGTTGTACGTCGGAATACACGCAACGATTTCTAGTCAAATATGGCATTCTATTGAAGGTATATTTTATTCATTGAAAACCTTGTTAGACTTATTTGAGATTAAAATTATGTAAAAGTAAAACAATAAATATTATATACAAAATATAGACCCCAAAACAATAGTTATTAAAAATGTTGTTTGATATGTTTGTCTGTTTGTATGTGTGCGTTTCACGCAAAAAATACTGAACCGATTTGAATTAAATTTTATGTAGAGAAAACTTATTACTCGGGTCAACATGTAGGATACCTTTTAGTACAGGAAAATCTTTTATTCCCATGGGGAAACATATTAACTGTTTCTATCGAGCCGTCCTTAGAAAACATGTCTAACGCTGACTAAACCTTAAGAGACACATCAAAATAATGTACTAGAAAATTTTAGGTCTTAATAAGGCCTACAGAAAAATCTGCAATAGCATAAGTTTTTCTTAGATTCACTCGCAATATCATCTATTCGTAACTATTGAAATCGTCCCTAGGTTGCGAGTGAAGTGAGGGTAAGTTGCTAGTACTATATATAATATGTATTATACATATTATATGTATGTATGTACATACTAATGGCTACATATTAAAATGTCGTTTCAGGAATACCATTAGAGAATTTAGCAAATCATTTAAATATTAGTCAAATAGAGAGTGGCTACCGATCCTGCGCAGTCATGAGGGCTGGATCTGTAATAAACGTCGGATGTCAAGAAATGTTTCCGTATATTTGCTACAAAAGTGACAATGTTAGTAGGAATCTTGCATCCTGTGGAACTACTGATACAGGTATTTCCAACAATCAATAAGAAATGGGTTATGAAAAATTCCTAAATTTTTTTAAGATGTAATACTTTTAGTAACCATAAAAATGTTTTCCTCAGTACTCAAACATTACTCATACATGTGTAAAATTTGTTTCCAAAATGACAATTGCATAATTGATCTCTATTTCTTCACAGCTTATCAATTGGACATGAGAACTGGCAACTGCTACAAATTCCACGCTGAAGCAAAGTCGTGGGTTGAAGCATACGAAATTTGTTTTGCAGAGCAAGCATACTTGGCGATAATCAATAGTTATGCTGAGGCACGAATCTTAGCAGATATTTTTGCAAATTATCCTAGTTTCACTATTCATGCTGACCATCCAAATACCATGAGTATTGGTATCATTGATTGGCAACATAACAGAGATTGGTATACGATTCATGGTAAGTAATATACGAGTACATGGGATTTTGTACTCTGTTTCATAATATTACTTATTTGGTTGGTTGTTGGTTACGCAAAGAGTTTTTTAAGATCAAGAGAGATCTTCAGTCAATGTGGATAATTAACACTTTTTACTATATTGAAATTTTGGAAATCATGAGTAAAGCTAGCAAATACATAAATAAATATGAGAATTATTAAAAAAAATGTTCATTAAAATTAAATCTCTAAACCTTTTTACAAATATATAATCCTTTTCAGGTGAAAGTATAAAAGATGCTGGTTATTCCTCGTGGAGTATGGGAGAACCAAGTAATTCGGACGGTGATGAATATTGTGGCACCATTTTCAGAAATGGCCATTTAAATGATGAACCGTGTTCGAAACGGAATGTTTTTATCTGTGAAAAAGATGTAATACTTGTGCAAAAGGAAGACTCTACTGAAAATCTATATACGACTGAGTCAGAATCTAGGGAAAACCTATATACGACTGAGTCTGAACCAAGTCAAAATCTATATACGACTGAGTTGGAAATCTAATGAAAAAATGCTTAATGAAAGATTTTTACAGACTAAGTCCAGTGCCCATATTTAGTAAGATGTACAGTCTGAATTAACATTTCCTGAAATATTTTCTGAGCTCAGTTTTACACAAAAACTACTTATTGTAGTTGATTTTATAGTAAATAGTGCAAAACCTTATACGACTTACAAATTTTTTATTGATATTTAAATACAACTGACTTAACTCCTATTGAAAAAGTATTGACTATTGTAACATAAGAATAATTTTAATGACATAAATTACATCACCACAATAATTACATGAATAATTATTTATATATTTCAGTTTTTTTTTTACTTTCAACTTTACTTATTTTATAGTTTTAAGCATTTTAAGAACAACCGAATGGCCTCGCCAAATAAATTAAGTATTCTACGGCTAAAAGAAGTGAGAGAATTTATTTAGATCATGGGGATTCATCAGGAAATAATATTTGAAGTAAATTTAAATAGATAGTTTTTACTATTATTTGTAAGTTATTTATGCTTATGTACAATTATTAATAACCGAAAATATATCTAGGTCTTAAAATGTAGATTTTAATGAGAACAACATAGAAAATAAAAATGGTATAATGAGTTCTCATATCTTTTTATATGATTATGTCCCGGTATGTACCGTATGTACTGGTCTAACCGTTCTTAAAGTTGCTGTACCAACGAACAGCATTTCATTTCTTTCTATAGATATGGATTGATAGACAGGTCCAGAAGTCAGCTAATATACGTCCGATAAAAATATTAGTTTGTTTAAATTTTGTTGAATTAGAACATTGCAATACTAACATTTGAGTATATAAACTTTCAAATATATAACCACACCTAGATGTGTGATCGTTCCCCAGAAGAAAATAACATCTCATGGAGTTCTTACAGTATATTATTTTGATTTGCGCTCTCTACTTTGTGGGTAAGTGTTTAGCATTTATTTAGTTTAATACGTAGGATTAGAAATTAAATTAAATATGTTAAACTGAAAACAAATTAGACGCCGATATTTTTGATTGATAAAATATAAAAGAATAATATATCTGGAAATGTTATTTTTGCAGAGGCCAAATTTTCACATCTGGATTATCAATACGATGAAGACGCAAAGATTTAGTTAAAACTCCACAAAATAAGGTCAGGTTGGCATCAAGCACGGAAAATATGCAATAGGGAAGGTAAGTCGCCTCCGTGGTTAGTTTCCGGGAAATCAATTGTTAACTGCCATGCCGGCATGTTCGCGACCGTTGAAGCGTTAAATCATTCAAAATTCAAATTCGAAATATTTTATTCGGCATTAAATTATTACAATTTTTAACTGAACGTCATGAGTCTACTACCAGTTCGGAAAGAAGAAGCCTCAGACCTGAGAAGAACTGGCAAAAGAAACTCAGCAGGACTAATATTAGCTCGTTATCTTTTTTTAAAGTAAAATTATGATTTACAATATTTCTATCAATTTGCAGTAGCCTGGAGGCGATCATTTCGTTCCCAAGGTGTGCCATCTTCTATAAAATTATTTATTATATAATAGCCTTTAGCACACAAACGTTCTTTAACAATTTTTTTGAGTTTGGCGATAGAAGCCTTTTGAACATTTTCTGGGATCCTGTTGTACAAGCATATACATTGTCCATAAAAAGAATTACTTACTATGTGTAGACGAGTCACAGGCATTACAACATACAACATTTCGTTGTTTATATTGTTTATTGCACTATACATTATAATACATTAGGAGATTATCATCGATCAAAAAAGTACTAGATACACAATCAGGGACAAAAAATGTCCTCACCGAATAAGCACTCATTGGAACATTTGAGCGCGATTTGACTAAATTTTATTTTGTGAAAACAACTTTAATCATTGCATTTAAGGTTTAATTTACATTGTCGTATATTTATTTCAACTGGAATAATTACCTAAACACAATTGGTGACAGTTTTAAGAGAACTTTTGAATAGGATTTTATATCTAGTATTTTATGATCGATGGAGATTTTATTTTATTAAAGCAAATAATATTGTTTTTTTTTTAATTATAGGTGCAATTATGGCATTGCCATTGGATGAAACGCTAAAAGATGTGTTAGGCAATTACTCAAAAGCCTACGGCATTGATCGGCTCTACGTCGGAATACACGCAACGATTTCTAGTCAAATTTGGCATTCGATTGAGGGTATGCTATTATTCATTGAAAACCTATTAGACTTATTTGAGACTAAAATTAAGTAAAACCAATCACGCATCTAATCTATATCATACTATTGGATACATATTTTGGATCTTTCCTTTTTGAGTAAAATTAATAATGAAGATATTGACTGCCCTGATTTAGTACAAAAAATAAAACTAGCAATCCCTAGAAACTCTATTTCTAGCTCTAAGCAAACATTAGTGAGCAAAATTTCTAGAACAAATTGAGTCCTTAATGCACCCTTAAATAGAATCATGCAACTGTATAATTTCATTTCAAAAGAAAAAGCAGACATAGACATTTTTAAATATTCTAGGAAAGCATTCAAAAGAAAACTTAAAATGCGTTTTTATAAGTTTAAACTCAAATTGTAACTAAGCCGAATATGTACATTAAATATTTTTTGGAAAATCTTATTGAAATAGACATTATTATAGATACAGAGGCTGAATCTATAGTTTTTATAGTTTTTAGAATTTTTGTCTGTCTCTGTCTATCTGTCTGTTTGTTACCGCATCACGGAAAAACCACTGGAGAGATTTTGATGAAATTTAGTATGATGATAGCTGGTTATACGGGTCCACATATAGGATACTTTTCACTGCGGGAAAATATCTCATCGCTGAGAAATCTACACTAAACGTTAATACGTAAGCAGGGAGGAACCCGAGCAGAGCGAGGGTGAATCCCTTGTACATAATAAAATTCTGAGTCGAATCTGTACATTAAATATTTTTTGGAAAATCTTATTGATATAGTCATTATTATAGATACAGAGGGCGAATCTATAGTTTTTAGAATTTTGTCTGTCCATCTGTTTGTCTGTCTGTCACGAGAAATTTGGTATGATAATAGCTGTTTATACGGGTCAACAAACAACAACAAATAAAATGGTAGGATTCTTCAGTCCTACCCTCAGTTATTGTCTCCCATGGTGCACGGTGATGAAGAATAAAAATCAGTGTACATTGAGTAGGCAGTTTGCAAAATCTGTAAAAAACACACGAAAAATATATATATCATTTAAATTGCTAATCATGTATTAAAGGAAGGGAGGGATGAGGGGCTTATTAACGTCTCACACACACAAACCTTCACATTTACTAAAGTACTGTAATATGATTTTAAGAGGTATTTCGTGTCTATTGTCCCAGAAATTTTTCATTACAAATCGAACGTAGTAAATAAAACTCACCGATACAAACATCTCCATATTAAAAGTGAGCATATCTAAAGCCCTCAGGTAAATTGGTATTTGAGCTTTAGTTATAATCATGCAGATTGATTTCCGTATATCCATGTCTTGGACAGATTCCCAGGAACAGCTGTAAGCTACTTTTGCCACTTCAGCAGCCTAAGGAATTAATAATATCCGTTATTTAATTTAAGTTGTTCACCATATTAGTCAAAAGTCCGTCGAGATTTTCGTTCATAAAATTCATACATAATGGATTAAAATTTTGACAATTTATTTTGATGTTCTATTTCGTTTACATTTTTCTATAAACTGTGAGTAATTCTCTATATTTCGTATTTTTTTCGAAAATATAGTCACTATTGTCGGGGTAGAAAGTGAATTCTCAATTTTCGTATGTATGTAGGCAGTATGTTGATATTCTTTAATATCTTTTACGCTGAGCAAACTCTATATATCTATCTAAAATATTTTAATATTCATCTTCATCATCATTACGAGTTTTTCCAAATAACTATCATATGATACACTTAATAAAGCTTTTACACTAATACTAGGGACTAAATGTCACAGAGTAGCCTATATATTAATCCGAGTCAACAAACAAACTGTCAGTCAAATCAATTCAATCGTTTCAGGATGAAAAGGTTACAAATACACACACACAATACTCACTCACTCACTCACTCACTCACTCACTCACTCACTCACTCACTCACTCACTCACTCACTCACTCACTCACTTACTCACTCACTCATACACTCAGACCCTCACACACTCATATACGTACAGACACATGCACGCTTACAATTATAATAAGAATTATAATTTTAAAAAAGCAACAAACTACAAAGGACTGTCAAGATAATACTATAAATATAGCAACACGCATTTACCAACGTTAAAAAAGGTGTGTCTCGAGTGAAAGTTAAAGTTAGTTTCTGTTTATAATTTATAATGTTTTATTTAATCATATGTTATGTATTTGAATATCCTATTATTTGAACAACTGTAAATCAATAATTTAATGTTATTATTGACGTTTTAATGATTGTAATTTACACAAACTAATCAACGGTTGTTTATATGGTGACATCTTGACCTGTGAGTCAATCTTTATTACATATCATTAGGAAAATGATCTACATAAATATAAACATTTTTAACTATTTCTAAACTATCGCTCTGTTTATTTACATAACATTAGTTGTGTAGTGTAGTAGTGTGTCACATAAAAGTATAATTTAGTTTAGTACAAAATTTTTCAGCATCGTACGCACGAGTTGTTTTTCCGACTATACCTTTAACTCTAATATAGTTTCGAGCCGATGGTACAATTGGAACAGTCTTACATTAAGACTTTCAGGAGTTCTAGTCACCGAGTCTAGGTTCTATTATCAAATCTACTTCTAAAGACCATAAATTATATTGTCATGAAGTTTCTTTATCACGTTTATATTCAAGTATAAGCTGCCTCGTTGGTCTAGTGGCTGGTATGTATGACAGGGTTCAAGTACTAGATCAGGTCAAAATGGTTATAGGTCTTATTTTATAGAATATCATAAAATAGTCTAAAGTTGCTGACGTACAATAAAATATTTATTATCTCGTACTTAGTATATTTTTTCAAATAATACTTTGGTTTTATTGATAAAAAGGTCACACAAGATACAGCAATGTCTCGCTACACGTAATCGCAATTCCTATAATATATTAAATTGATACAGAAACAATACAAAACTAGCTTTTTGCTGCTATCTCGCCCGCGCTGTCTCCAATGTATAAAACCTGATGGTGCGAAAATTACATATAGACTGCACAAACAATTCTTCCGCTATTTTCCGCGGATGTGTGTATGTGTGATTGATAAACATTCTTATTCTATTTCATATAAAAAATCTTATAGAAAAGAGCACTTTCAGTTTTTCCCAAATACCTTAATTTCGGGTAAATTTTCCTTAATGACTATTACGGAAATAACAAAAAAATTAGCCAAATCGGTATAATCGTTCTCAAAGTTTCTTTTACTTACGGAAAGCATTTCATTTTGTTCTATAGATCGGAATTGACAGACAGGTCAAAAAGTTTTGAATTAAATTTAAATAGATACGTTATTTATGCTTACATACAATTATTAATAACTGAAAATATACCTAGGTCGTAAAAATATGTAGATCTTAATAAAAACAACATAGAAAATAAAAATAATATAATGATTGTGACATCGTAGCTCTTAAGCGAATGAACCAATTTTGATGCGTTTTTTTTTCATTTGAAAGCTAGTTTCTTGGCAATGGTTCTTAGATATGTTATTTTAAAATCAGTGCAGCCATTTACTAGATATGGGGGATGAAAGCTGGTTTGAAAAATCGAATATTTTCAAATATACCCAAGTGTAGTATCAAATGCACTTTGCATATGATAATTAGACATATTTTATCAAAATCGGTTATTTTAGATTTTGATGCACGCTCGGGTCACGTTGTCGGTGCGATAAATTTAGCAGTATAAGTTGGCAGATTGGAATGGCTTACGAGAACTTTCCGCAGCCTACCCATATCGACCATCTCTACCATCGCTGCGTAAACCGGATAGCACCAGCAGCATGCACCCGCGTGCATTCTGCAAAACAGGAGGCAGATCTCTCGAACTCAACCCTTGATGACAGGGGACCACCGCCGCCTACTATCTCGCGGTGTGATAACGTGATTCCAATAATGTACTTTACGCAACGTGAAGTGCGTCAAGCACTTATCTCCCTAGATGTCAAGAAGTCCAGCCGGCCTGACGGTATTCCAGCTATGCTTAAAACGTGGGCTCCAGAATTAACACCGGTCTTAACCCGCCCGTTTACTCTATCCTACTCCTTTTAAGTTTCGTCTTCTTAGAAGGTTATCGTCGTTCACCCTATTCCCAAGTAGTGAGCGTACAGACCCATCCAATTACAGACCTATTGTGATAACCTCTATACTCCCAAAGGTGAAGGAACCCGTGATTAACACGAGGCTCCTTGCTTTCCTAGAAGAGAACCAGCTCGTTAATGATGGATAACACGGTTTTTAACATTATCATAATACAGGTGATCCTCTAGCATATCTAACTCACCGTTGAGCAGCTGCTATTGAGATTAGGGGGGAGACCCTTTGGAGGGGAGGGGAGCATTTAGTAAATATTAGCATTTAGCCTCTATATCGCAAAGGCCTTCGGTTGGGTCTGGTATAAGGCGCTTCTATCGAAGCTACTATCGTACAGACTTACCGAAAGATTATGCCAATGAGTCGCCAGCTTCGTTTAGCTTTTTGTTATATTTTTATTTTCATGTTCAATTTTGTTTATATTTTTCTATTAACTGGAAATAATGCTCTATATTCCGCATTGTTTTAGAGAATCTAGGCTCAAATGTTTGGGTGAAAAGCATTTAGAGTTTTTCCCAAATTTCCCAATTCTGGGCAACTTTCCCTATAAATCTCATTCGTCCGAATATATATATATATATATATATATATATATATAACGAACATTTTAAGAAAACTGTAGCCAAATCGGTCTAGCCGTTCTCAAAGTTGCTTTACCAACGAACAGCATTTCATTTTTCTTTTTATAGATATGCATTGATAGGCAGGTCAAGAAGTGAGCTTATATACGTCCGATAATATATAGTTTGTATAAATTTTGTTTAATTAGAATATTGCAATACTAACATTTATATAAACTTTGAAATATATCACCACACTTAGTTGTACGATAGTTCTTCAAAGAAAATAGCATCTCATGGAGCTCTTGCAGTATATTATTTTGATTTGCGCTCTCTACTTTGTGGGTTAGTGCTTATCATTTAGTATTTAGTTTAATACATAGGATTAAAAATTAAATTAAATATGTTAAATTTAAGACAAATTAGACGCTGATTTTTTGGTGAAAAACTTATACTTATAAATAAAAATTGATAAAATATAAAAGAATAATATATCTGGAAATATTATTTTTGCAGAGGCCAAATTTTTACATCTGGATTATCAATACGATGAAGACGCAAAGGTTTGGTTAAAACTCCACAACTTGAAGACAGGTTGGCATCAAGCACGGAAAGTATGCAATATGGAAGGTAAATTAAATCATTTCATTGTTTATATTCTTTATTCCACAAAAAAAAAGTTTAATAACATAAAGAAATTATTGACTTTTTGAACTTCTATGAGACTAGAAAATGCAGTTATATTTATCCTACTTAAAATCTTGAGTTTTAGATTTTTATTTTATTAAAGTAAATAATATTGTGTTTTTTTTTTATTACAGGTGCAATTTTGGCATCGCCATTGGATGAAACGCTAAAAGATGCATTGGATACTTACTCGAAAGCCTACGGCATTGATCGGTTGTACGTCGGAATACACGCAACGTTTTCTAGTCAAATATGGCATTCGATTGAAGGTATGCTATGTTTTTACATACAAGTTATCTTATATTCGGTTTATCACTTATATCTCCTCTATGTTATATGCAACTTACTGTTTTTATATTGTAAGGTCAACATGTCTCTTCTAAAAACTTGCCTTACTGGTAAAAACCAGCCAATTCAAATCATGTCCATCAATTTATCCTAAGTTATCTACTCTGTGTAAATAATTCGACTGTTCAAATTTAAGAAGTTCTATTTTTAAATAGCTAACACTTTTGTAGCAGAAAAAAAAACAAGAAATTGTATTTTACATTTATTTTGGAATGTTGTATATACTTATGAAAAAAATTCAGGATTATCTACAGAACCCATTTAGACCTCAATTTTTTTGTCGGTGATGTTGATAACCAAGCTTATTCTTAATATTGAACTTGGCTCCCACTTTCACATTTATGTTTTTGATGGGATATCATGACTTTTTTGTAAAGAAACTATTATTATTCATAATTCACAAATGACATGTAAATTCAAACTTATTTTCATTATTTTGCGATTATTCGTTAGTGGAATAGGAAAATGTTATTTAATCATCATGAAACCTTTTCTGCTGATTAAGAAAAAGTTTTTGTTGTTACTGTGATTGCGATTGTTATTATATTTCAAAAGGCACTACGTGTGTTAAGCTATTGCTATTATGTTTTGGAAGGCGCAAGGTGTTAATAAAAATTAACTGTTTTCGGATTTTTCCCATTATTTCATTTCCCATTATATGTCAGTCAGTCAGTAATAAAAATAACAATTTTTAGACGTTAATATTTCAATAATAGTTTAGGCTGTATTTATAAAATTGGAGATTCTAGTTAATCTAAGGGATTTAATAAATGAACCAAATGTCATGAGTTTATGTTTAATATATTATGAGTTATTACGAGGTGAAAAGTGGCTCCAAATGGTTCGTGTAAAATATACACACGGTGCTGCACCGCGAGTTCATTTGGCTTGAACTTGACTGGACACGCTACCGCATTTCTTGACTATACGTAATTATGTATGAAAGATAAAAAGCACTATATACATACTATGCTGGCTTCCTATATAAATAAATAAAAGAATAAAAAATAAAACAAAATATCTTTTCAGGAATATCATTAGAAAATTTAGAAGATCATTTAAATATTAGTCAAATGGAGAACAGTGACTACCGATCCTGCGCAATTATGGAGGCTGGATATGTGATAAACGTCGGATGTCAAGAAAAGTTTCCGTATATTTGCTACAAAAGTAAAAATGTTAGTAGGGAACTTACAGCCTGTGGAACTACTGATACAGGTATTTCTAACAATCAATATGAAATTAATTATAAAATAGTTAAAAAAGCGAAACAGTCTCCAAAACTTACGCAAGATATACTATGTACTTTTATTAGCTATGAAAATGTTTTCCTCAGTACTCAAACCAACTCGTAAATACATGTTTTTTGTTTCCAAAATAAGAATGGCATATTTTGACCTCTATTTCATCACAGCTTATCAACTGGACAAACGAACTGGCAATTGCTACAAGTTCCACGCTGAAGCAAAGTCGTGGGTCGAAGGATTCGAGACTTGTTTTGCAGAGCAAGCATACTTGGCGATAATCAATAGTTATGCTGAGTCACAAATCTTAACAGATATTTTTGCCAATCACCCCAGTAACACGATCTACGCTGACCATCCAAATGTCATGAATATTGGTATGATTGATTGGGAACATAACAGAGAATGGTATACAATTCATGGTAAGTAATTTATATTTATATTTTGTTTTATAATATTATTTGTATGGTTACTTTATGCAAAAAGTTTTTATGAATGGTTTTATTTTATTAATGATTATTATCCTCAGTTAATGTGTTCAGTTACACTTTTTACTATATTGGAATTTTGAAATCATGAGTAAAGCAAGCAAATACATAAATAAATGTGAGAATTATTGAAAAAAGGGTACATTGAAATTAAATCTTTAAGTCTTTTTATAAATCTATATACCATTTCAGGCGAACGTTTACAAGATTCTGGATATTCTTCGTGGAATAGAGGAGAACCAAATAATGCAGACAATAATGAATATTGTGGCTCAATTCACAGAAATGGCCTTTTAAATGACGAACCGTGCTTAAAAAAGAATGTTTTTATCTGTGAAAAAGATGTAAAATTTGTGCCAAAAGAAAACACTACGGAAAACCTATATACGACTGACTCTGAATCTAGAGAAAATCTATATACGACTGAGTCTGAACATAGTGAAAATCTATATACGACTGAGTCTGAACATAGTGAAAATCTATATACGACTGAGTCTGAACCTAGTGAAAATCCATATACGGCAGAGTCTGAACCAAGTGACAATCTATATACGACTGAGTCTGAACCTAGTGAAAATCTATATACGACTGAGTCTGAACCTAATGAAAATCTATTTACGACTGAGTCTGAACTTAATGTAAATCTATATACGACTGAGTCTGAACCTAGTGAAAATCTAGTTATTACGTATGACTAAGTCTATCTTATATGACTAAGTATATATGACTGAGTTAGAACCTAATGAAAAAATACTTCTTGAAATATTTTTTCAGACTTAGTTAAGTCCAGTACCCGTGCCTAGTGAAAATATACCTGACTGAATTAAAATTTCTTAAAGTAATTTTTTAGCTCAGTTTTCTAAGGTAAAAGACCTTTCATGACTCACAAAATTCTTACTGATATTTAAATACAATTGATTTAACTCCATATATTGAAAGAAATTATATTACTACAATAAATACAGCAATTGTTAATTTTTATTTATTCGTTTTGTTATTACTTTCAATTTAACTTTTATAGTCATGTCCTCAACAGGTTTCATTTTGACGAGACTCCCAACTTTTCTTTCTTTGAAAGTTTGGTTGTGGTAGATACAATTGTGGATTGATACGCAACATGTCGAAATGGTGATTGCCTAAAATATTTTATTACCAACAGGTTGTTTTACGACTTAGTCTTAAGATAATCCAACATAAAACAAGAAACAAATGTTGTCTTACAGTACAGATAGTTTGGATCAAAGTGTCCCCCTGTCTGAACTTGTTAAAATTACAACGTCTTAATATTTATTAATAACCGGCTGACTTTTATAGTATTTATTATTAAAAGTATGCATAATTAAATAATCAAATCGTCCTACAAATAAAATGGTAGGATGTCTCCCATACGGTGATGAAGTTAGTTTTTTAACTAAAGATAATAAAGATGCATTTTGGTTTTAATGCAGTGCAGGTGTCTATGATCTCAGTAGAGTGTACATTGAGTAGGCAGTTTGCAAAATCTGTAAAAAACATACGAAAAATGTATACAATTTAAATTTCTAATCATGTATTAAAGGACGGGAGACGTCTTTAAAGTCTCACACATACAAACTCTTACATTTACTAAAGTAGTCTTATATAAATAATATGATATAAAAGGTTCGTGTCTATTGTCCTAGAAATTTTTCATTACAAATCGAACGTAGTAGTAGTAATAAAACTCACCGATACAAACATCTCCATATTAAAAGTGAGCATATCTAAAGCCCTCAGGTGAATTGGTATCTGAGCTTTAGTTATAATCATGCAGATTGATTTCCGTATATCCATGTCTTGGACAGATTCCCAGGAACAGCTGTAAGCTATATTTGCCACTTCAGCAGCCTAAGAAATTTAAAATATCCGTTATTTAAATTTTCCACCACATTAGTTTAAAGTCTAAGAGAATTTATTTTGATGTTCTATTTCGTTTACATTTTCCTATAAACTGTAAGCAGTGCTCTATATTCCTTATTTTTTTTAATATCTAGGTTCTATTATCGGGGCTGGAAAGTGTTGGAATGCTCAATTTTCGTATGTATGTAGGCATTATGTTGATTTTCTTTAATATCTTTTACACTGAGCAAACTGTAGATTTAAAAAAAAATTATCGTCATAACGATGTCGATGACGAACGACGACGTTTTTCCAAATAATCTATCATATGATGCACTTAATAAAGCTTTTATACTAGAGACTTAAATGTCACAGAGTAGCCTATGTGTTACTCCGGATCATACACAAAGTTTCAGTCAAATCTATTCAGCTGTTTCAGAGTCAACAAACATACACACACACCCACACTCATACAGTCACACACGCATACAAACAGGCGCGTTGCAATTATAATCTTACTACTATATAAATGCGAAAGTTTGGGTGTATGGATGTTTGTTACTCAATCACTACAGAATGGCTAAACGGATCTGAATGAAATTTGGCATAGAGATAGATTATAGTCTGGAATAGCACAAGGGTACCTACTTTTTATCTCGGAAAAATGTACGGTTGCCGTGGGTTAGATTTATTTATATTATAAAAATTTTAATTTAAAAAAGCAACAAAGGACTGTTAAGATAATACTAGTACTACTATCTACGAGTAAATATTTGACATACTCTCCAAGAAAATATTTTTTCCGACTAATATGTGCACAAAATAAAAAACCATCTTTAAATAAAGTAAACAAACACTTGTTAATCCTAATTAATAATAATGTAATATCTATCTAATAATATATTAATGATATATAAAAGCTATGAGCTTATACTCAATAATAAAAAGACCTAATAGCCCAGTCGGGTTGTGGAAAATAATGGCTTAACCCCGAAAAAATTCTAGACCAAAAATTTTATTTCCCCAACCTTTAAATTAAAAACTGTAGAAATTTTAATTCCTTACAAATTTATTCCTGTACATTTGGGCCCTAAAGTCGATGATAAGTGAGATAATGAATTAAATAATTACATTAACCCCCGTTTTTCTCTCTTAACCTGGAAAATATCGACTGCACGAGAAAATAAGCTTTTAATAAAATATAGAGAATTGAATAAAGAACGACTTTAGTCCTTATAATTTTTCTCGTAAAGTTGAAAATGGCTGAAGTATTGAGGAAAAACGATTCCCCCTTAAAATTAATATAGCGGCTTAAAATCAATATCACGCATCGCTCGAATTTGGTCACGGTTTCAAATTTACACTCCCATTGACCCAAAAGGCTGGTGAAATAAAATTTTGTCCTAGATTTTTTTTAAGGCTCAATGCTAACTTGACTAGGTTATAACAGCAACTCACATTATGTGTAACGTCGGATATAATATAGCAAGGTAGAAAAATATGTAGAACAGTCGCCACTGCGAATAAGTAATACATCCCGTTTATGTCGCTTTCCTAAAAAAGAAGTAATAATTGAAAAAAAACATAAAAACTATATATTAAAACGGCATTGTTAGCTCAGTGGTAACGCGCTCGCTAGGGAAACCGAGTGAAGCAGGTTCACGTCCAACATAATTACCATATTTTGTCTTACGGTGAAGGAAAACATCGTGAGGAAACCTGCATGTCTGAGAGAACTTAGCAAGTTTTCGAAAACCATATGAAGTCCGTACTTGGCCAGCGTGGTAGACACGCAGAAGGATGTCAAAGAAGGGGCAGGGTTGAATACATAAAATACAAAATATATCTTATGTATATTTGAAGTCAAATTCTCAATGTCTTTTAAAAATCTCCGATTTAGAAAATATAACTGTCCAATGTGTTTATTAAAGGCTTCTCTGAGTGGGATTCAAATGCCATTATAATTTTACCAATTTCCTCAAAATTCATTAAAAATACAACACAATAATCTATGTAAGTAAAATCAGTATAATAAGTTATTGAAATTATAAAAATGGGGTTCAAAAATTTTGCACTCAAATATTTCTGGAGTTATTTTTTAATTAAATATTTTCCTCAATAGTTCCAGTTAAAGTATTATACTTTATTGAAAGCGTGTATCAAATTCGAAATAAAGTCTTTTCTCAATCTATTTAATAATTCGGATATTCCATAAGTACTGAACTGAACAGAATGTTATATTTTTCCTGGCATATGGCTACGAAAATATAAACTCAATTATGAAAATTCACCAAAGTTGATTGAACATAAATATTTATTAAAAAAGTAATTCTTGTAACACAAAGTATATGCAATACTTTAAAGTTATATCCCTACCGCCTCGTTACTCTCGTAGGTAGTATGTACAGATCCGGAGGTTCTGGGTTCGAGTTCCGGTTCGGACCAAGTATAGTCAGTCAGTCATTGCCTAGAAATCGTCAGTAATAGCCTGAAACTTGGAAATTGGTGGCATTTTGCCACCGTAGACCCAGAATGTGAAGCTTTAGCGCCCAATCTATCCACCGTGACATGATCCCCAATCGTGGCAATTTGTCATCCCAAATTTTAAGTAAAAGTGAAAAGAATAGACAACGTATTTAAGATTCTTCATCTGCTGCACACATGGCTAGTCTCAATGAGTTTGGCTGTCGTAGCGTATCGTTCAAGAGGATATTACATATTATACCCCTTTATGAAGAAAGATAATTAATATATGACTTTATATTGTAGGAATCGAACCCGCAGTTTTCGTCATTGCAGACAATACTAATCAGACACAATATGGTAGATAACAATCGATTAAAGTTTATAGTGATTAAAGTAAATTACAGCGTTTGATGTAATTTGGCTCAAAGCCATTCCGATTTGCAACACAGCATTGAAAAATATTCCGACCAACCAAATCTCGAAGCACTTTTGAATTTCACCAATCAATCTGAAATTGAATAATTCATTTAAATCCAAAACGAAATTAATTTATTTAAATGACATACTGTGATAAAATACTTCAATACATACTTAAATAATATATTTATATATATTACATTGTATAGTTAAAATTTTAGACTTTTGAAAAAATCTCGTAGTAAAAACTTTTAAGTTCAAGCCTTAATTTTTATCTGATTATACTTGGCTATATATATTATTTAATAACTTTAGTCATTCCAACAATTTATAGAACAAATTCAATTTCATACGAAAAGACAAAAAACAATTCTAAAAAACTCTCGGTATCTTGATACCTGATAGCCTCACAGTGATCTGTAACAAAGTTTGCAATTTTTCTCTTTATCATTTGAATATCGGTGACGTCATCCATAATATGTTTTAAGTTGTAATTAAATATTTTTATCTTCAAGGAAACATGCAAAACGCAAACAGAGAACATACCATCGTATCCTAAAATGCATAAAGAAAAATTCAAACAAATGATAGAGAAATTTAGTGTCTGAGCTACATAGTTGATGGGTGATCATCATCATTACTTAGTGTTATAACAAATAAGCGTTTCATGTTTCAAAGGTAATGAGGGTGGGTACTCTTAACTCTTGGTTATATAATAGTCGGTAATTTATGTCTCAGGCCATTTTGCTTTAACTTCTCAATATATGACACTGCTGCGAAAATTTTTTGCTCTTCAACTGCTATAAAATTAAACACACGAAAGTTTGAGTACTGAGAATATTTTATTCGTTTACTTTATATATTATAACTGACTTTTACAATGAAATGGTATACTAATATATAATAATAAATATATAGGCTACTTCGTTGTAAAAGCTAGCTAATTATAAAGTAAAAGATACAGCTACAATAGTTATTGTAGGTAGACAAGCTGAAATATGTTTCTCAATTTCTCAGTCACCTGTAAATCCAACAAAAATAACCCAAACTATATAAATAGTATAGACAGCGAACAACTCAAAGCAAGGTGAATTGTATTTCTGTTCCTCAGTCAAAAATATTACCGCAGTTTCATGAATCATGAATCTTCTTGGATTATCTGAAAAAAATTGAGAATAAATCGTCCAGGCACCAGCTAGTACAGGGTACGAAGATGCAGTGACAGTGACCACAATAATCCATATCTTTTCAAGAGTTTTAGTCTTGTTTATTGTTTCCATAATTATTGGATGTAATTCTTCTGGTAAACTGTTAAACTTCTCATAATCTTCGTCTATTCCATCGAAGATAGCCCTTAGTTCCTTTCTTCTGACGACAGTCAGTATGAGCTAAACAAATAAAAATCCTTGTAATATAACATTCTTTTATGTGTTTTTAAATATTATAAACGACTTAAGTCTTGTTTTTTTTAAAGTTACGTCCAAAATGAGATTTAAGACAGAAATTAATAATACATGGTAAAAAATGCTTCATATTTCACACAATACCTTAATCACGACGAACGAAAGGGACACCATAACAATTGATTGTCTTACGAAGTTTGCCATGTCATTGCGCAGGATTCGACGTCGCATATCTTCACAGATCGTCATAAAAATAGGCAAGATGCTAATTATTACGACTCCTTAAACATAAAACGTACAGATAAAGTAGACATAATGTTAGAGATATCATATCCTATTTAAGTAGGTATATTTTGTATTCAGCCCTTTTTAACGTCCCACTGCTGGGCACGGGTCTCCCTTCAATACGAGGGGGATCAGGCCATAGTCCACCACGCTGGCCAAGTGCGGGTTGGCGGACTTCACTTGTTTTTCGAAAACTTGCTAGGTTCTCTCAGACATGCAGGTTTCCTCACGATGTTTTTCCTTCACCGTAAGGCAAGTGGTAATCATGTTAGAAATGATTCGCACATGAAAATATCAGAGGTGCGAGACCCGGGATTTGAACCCGCTTCACTCGGTTTCCCAAGCGCGCGCGTTACCACTGGGCTACCACTGCCTTCGGTATATTTTAGTTATCATCAAATACCACAAAACAAAATGTCAACTAACCAAAAAATGAGTAAATACTTAATTCAAGTATATTTTAATTTTAAATAAAACTATCTAATGCTTTGCTTTGTATGGGCTGGCACCGATTTCGAAAATATTTGATTAGGTATGTATTTAATAGGTAGGCTTTAATTACTTAGCCAAAGCACACCGACTTCGAAAATATTTGATTAGGTATGTATAGTAAATGAAAACTACCAATCAGTTATTTTTTACTTTTTAGTGCTTTTGTTTGAAGTCGGTTTTTATTTTTGTTAAAAAGTTTTTATTTTTCCCTTTTTAGTGTAGACAGTAGTAGCAAAGTAAGAATTCTAACGTATTAGGCTTGTCAAATCAAACAAAACAAGCCCAAACTCAAGTATCTACTATTAGCCGTTGAAGAGTTCCACCTATCCACGTTCTGGCCTTACCATCAGATCAGGTCAACCATATCGAACCACTGTACTATCAACGGAAATAGAAACACTTGCAAAGTTTCAAGTCAATATGACAATTAGAAGTAGGTTAAATTCATCATTAGCTATTTTTCCACCCTTAGGGGTGGTATTTTTTTTTGAAATTTAAATGGGACCAATCTGGAAGTATACACTTTCAAACAACACAAAAATTGTCCAAATCGGTTAATAAATGACGGAGTTCTGAGGTAACAAACATAAAAAAAAAATACAGTCGAATTGAGAACCTCCTCCTTTTTGAAGTCGGTTGAAAAAGAATTAAATTACGCTTTGGGTGTACCTTTTCGGTGTAGTTACAAGAAATCTTACCGATCAACAATTTTCTTTTGGCGTCAGTACGTGGATTTGGGTACATCAAACCTACTGTAAGCAGGAAAGTATTCATCTTGTAGGTTTCTTGAAGAGTTTTGAATTTTCTTCCATTATCTATACATATAATAAAATTGTAACTAAGGCGAATCTTTACATTAAATATTTATTGGAAAATCTAATTGAAATAAACATTATTATCGATACACAGGCCGAATCTATAGTTTTTAGAATTTTTGTCTGTCTGTCTGTTACAGCATCACAGAAAAACCACTGGAGGTATTTTGATTAAATTTAGTATGGTGATAGCTGGTTATCCGGGTCAACATATAGGATACTTTTTACCGCGGGAAAATATCTCATTTCCGAGAAATCTATACTGAAAGTTAAAACGTAACCAGGGTTGAACCCGAGCGGTGCGAGAGTGAGTCGCTAGTAGTAAATATGAGCATACAGGCGGTATACAAAAATGTATACTATAGAAAATAAATTCATTAATTAAAATAATGTGGGTATATAAAAGCATCTTGCATCATTACGAATTGTTATTGCAATTGCAATTAGATAGCAATTTATGTGAGCGCAAAGTTTATTTTTGAAACAAGAAAATTAATATGAAGATATTAAACAATAATTGCACAATAAAAACGTTAGTAGTAAAATATTAAAGCTTAATCCCTCCACGAGCGCGGACACACCGGCGCGGCGTTACAGCTAACAATAGATTTCTTAGAAATTTAATTAATTTCTTTCTTTTAATCGTACACCATAAATTTACTCGGCCATAATATACATTTTATATATTTATGTATATAAAGAATCAACATATACGTTTCGCGTTCCTTTACAACAGAACGAGGTACCTAACAGTTACTCTGAGATCGACTGTTCTAACAATTACATGTTATATTATCACGCTTGAAGCTAAACTTCCCAAATAATTTACGAAGAAGAATTTAATAATAAGACTTATTCGAAGTTCATCCCCTCGTTATATCCCTATGCTTTCGTTCAATTGCGACACATTAATTAAAGGATCTTATTGTTAACTATCAGAACCCGCGGCTTCGCCCGCGATCAAATTACGGAAAAACTTAACTTTCGCTAAACATATCTTATTATGTTGTTTATTTTGTTTGTATTTTGTTTTACTAACATAATTCTTAAGTAATTATATTGTACTGACCAACTATGAGCCTATGTTGCTTGACAATAAAAGTTTTTTTTTATTATTTTTTATTATTTGCAAAAATAAGTTCATATAAGTTTTATTATTTCTTACAGATATATGGAAAACAAATTTAATTTTAGCGATTGTAACTCAAAATATTCAGTATCTTAAAAGATGTTAAACATAGGTATATTCTGTAAATAAATTTTCATTTCAGGTATTTAGTAAGCTCCACTATCTGTATTTTTACACATTTTGCTACTCCATTTTTCCAAAGTTAGAGGAAGAGAGTACAAGGAAAAAAATAAAATGAAGCGTTATAATAATAATATATTAATGTAATATATAACATATAAAAATAATTTGTCTACCTGACATTTCGTCACCGGACATCGGCTAGAGCGATATACATATTCATAATATGGATGACTGCCTTTTTAAAACATATCGGTACAGTCAATAACGTACGTATAATAGAAGAATTAGTCTCTAAAAAAGCTGGAGTATGTCGCTAGGCCTCCCCCTAGTCATATCCGTTGGACACCACGGTCCACCTTGTCATGGTGGACTCATTAGCGTCTGGCAATCCAGCCGGCTATAAAGCGCAAAGACACCCCTGGAAGATCGCCCACTTCGGTAGGCGGTGTACCATGCGGGTTGTTCCTGATACTTCTCTGATAGCAGAATGGACTGTTGGAGCAACCCCTTGGTTGTTGTGGTCTGCTTCGGCAAGTCTGCCGTCGGGGTGTCGTATTTAGGCGTCGTGGCTGCGTAAGAGATCTCGTGACGCCCTGTCAAGGCGGGGGAAGTTCTATTGGATTTTAGTGGATAGTACTGGCTTTTCTAGCCGATGAGTTCTACACAACCACCTGTACATGTATACAGATGATATTCGTAAGTAAAAGCTTTTGATGAGCTTTATTATTATCAATTTATCAATATTAAAAAATTAGAAACAGTTCGTTTTTTTTAAATAGATAAATTCTATTCATATATGTTTTCCTTATGTTTATGGTCTTTTTTTTAATTCCTTATCCTATCCACTATTGTATACAAATTATAGCGGGCGAGTGTACACCACAAGTTGCTAAATTCTCATAATCAATTATATTTCTCATATAGTCCGACTAAATGCTGAGTGATGTCAATCAAATTGAATTTAAAAATTCTCAAAGCGGACCTTCCCTTTTGTTGCGTTTAACAATTAATTAGTGAATTACAGCACTTGACTATATTTTATGAGTGACTTCTGTCTTTTCTATATAATATAAACTTTCTCTATTTAATATAAACTATAACTCACTGTTTGCGACTTAGTCTACAAATTTATTTTACTAATATTATAAATGCTAAAGTAACTCTATCTGTCTGTCTGTCTGTTACCTTTTCACGCTTAATCCGCTGAATCGATTTAGATGAAATTTCGTATGAAGATAGCTTGAGACTCTGGGAAGGACATAGGATAGTTTTACCCCGGAAATCATCCCTTAAGAGGATGAAATGGGGGTGGAAGTTTGTATGGGGAATCAATCATTTCTCAAGTAAGGGATATCAAACTCATCATATTCTATACTAAGCGTCAAAACGTACCTAGGGACGAACCCGAGCGAAGCGAGGGTGAGACGCTAGTTTAAAATAAAATATCTGTTAACTACTGGTCCTTATATTGTAATTTTGAGGAAGGTTGCGGCGCGCGTAATAGGTTTTCTCAGTACGAGCTCTTACTCCTCCTGGATATTTTATACGTTTGAAGTAAAACAATTATTGTAAGAAGTATAATGTAACGTAAACAATTGTTCAATAAAAAATTATTGTTTATTATTATTATTAATATTTAGTTATTAATATGAATCATTATAATATGTGAGTGGCGCCTTAAACTCAAACAATAAAATGCAGACAACTTATGAGAAAAGCAGTAATTATTCAATGGTATTCCATTTTCAACCGACTTCAAAAAGAAGTAGGTTCTCAATTCGGCTGTTTGTTTGTTTGTCTTTTTATTATGCTAAGAATACGATTCCCTATAGATTAAGAAGAACGCACAATGACTTAGTTTGACTAACGCCTAAATTCTTCGACATAATTCGTAGCAAAATAACTTCTTCACATAGCATTAACCTTAAATATTGTTAAGAACAAACTACAAATAGCTTTTAAAACTAATTGGACTAAAATTCCTTAAAGTCATAAATAAAAAGAAATAATAGTACCTAATAATTATAACAAACTAACTACTCAATCTCGCTTCGCTCGGGTTCGTACCAAGTGAAAAAAAAACAAATCTATCCCACGGGCACCGTAAATTTTTCCGGGATAAACATTAACCTATATACTATTACAGACTATAGTCTATGTCTGTGCCTTTCATCCAGATCCGTTCAGCCGTTCTATCGTGATTAAGTAACAACCATCCATCCAAACTTTCGCATTTAAAATAGCTTTAATTTGATTGGGATTGTGCACTATTACAAGGTTCTATGTTAATTTTAATGAAGTTTAGTAATTTTTACATAGAACTTCGTTATTTTGTTATCGTAAAAAAAAACAACATAGAACTATGTAAAATTGAATATTTTGTAGTTATAGTGCCGCTATCTAGTGGTTTGTTTTTGCAAAACTGTAGCTAATGACACATAGAACCTTGTAGCATTAATAACTAAATAAGTACTAAAATTGTTACATAGAACCTTGTAATAGTGAGCCAACGATTTATGTAGATATTGTTATGTTTCGAAAAATTCGAAATTGGACCAACTAAGAAAAAAATCAGCCAAAATAACTTCTCTGATGTATTTGTCTCTCAGATCTCCGATGTTAAGAGCGTCTACTCCTCGATCGCCCCGGGACTTGTAAATCCTCAAAAGCCCTGATTGTCGACCCAAACGAAAAAAATTAGAAAAATGTACAAAAGGCAAGAGCCTCGAGGTGCAGGAAATAAATGTAAAAGGGAATAATAAATTATACATAAAAAAGTCATTTCATTTAATATATTGTATTATTCATAAATATATAACAGTGTCTAGTGACTTACCCTCACTGCGCTTGGGTGCGTCCTTAGTTACGCATACCTACCTATAGTGTTGCAATAATAATCTTTTTACCCGACTGCGACGAAGCCCAAAGGAGGGCTATGTGTTTGACCTGTATGTATGTATGTATGTAAATATATAAGTCCGACCTTATGTTCCCTAGTAATTACTAAACGGCTTAGTCGATTTTGATGATTCATACGTCGTTAGATTCGTCTTGATAACGCGAGTGTCATAAGGTATAGGTATATTATATAGAAGTCATTAAAAATCAAAATGCCGGACATTAGACGCCAATTTGTGTCTTGAAATTTTTTTTTCGTCTAAATCAAACGAGTGCGGTGTCAAAATACAGATATAAAAATGTATACATCTTATATGTTTAAAAGTAATTTAGGATAAAAAATTGTTAAATAAAACTAAAATAAAGTTAAGAAAATATTATTATAAATATGATTTTCTTTATTTTTTATAAATCATAAGTATTATATATATATATATATATATATATATATATATATATATATATATATATATAAAAATAAAAAAAAGAATTTTCAGTCTATGAAACGAATTTAAATAACGGAACGAATAGGGCACGTCAGACACAGCCACGTTTGTAAATGATACCTCTTTTTAAAAAAGGATCCTAATCGAAAAACCCTGACATTCATCTTTATATACGATTCAATGAAGTGGAAAGGAAAAGTACGGTCCTTTGTTACTTTATTTTTTTTTTATTTTTTGCTTTTCTAATCTTGCAGTCGAATAGAAATTGCTAAAACACTATATAATTATATTGAATATCTTGAATGTTTAACTTTTATTTTCTACGGAAGAGTTATGGTTGGAAGTGGTTGCCACTAATCAACAATTTACAATATGTTCTTTTAATCATTATACGAGGCAGTTAATATAATTATTTATTATATTAACTGCCTCGGTGGTTTAGTAACTAGAATGTGCGACTGCAAATCCAGAAGTCCTAGGTTCGAGTCCCAGGTCGGGTCATGTTTTATTATTGATTTTTTTCTGTCAAGACATTTTCAGTAACAGTCTGGAGTTGGGAAGATAGCAGTGTTTCACTCAATGCCTCAAGGAGCACGTAAAACCGTCGGTCCTGCGCCTGACCTTTCACTGGTCGCATCGATTCACCGTCACATCGGAGTATGAGAATGACAGGAATAGAGTTGCTAATCTCTCAGTAAAATTTGGTCGCTGTGACCAAAACTGATTAGGAGGCCATTATTACATAATATTAAACCAATCAATGTTTTAGTTTTTTTTTTTTTGGAAATTTTGTATAAACTTATTTATTTTTAAATCTTGTATAAAACATATGTAGGTATTTTTGTTTCTTTGTTAGTAGCTTCAATTTAGTTTTATTAAATATTTTTATTCAATTAGTTTCACTTGTTATTTTTGTTAAACATACTTATTTAGTATCCGTCACTTTTGATGACAAATCAGTTCATTTGTAATAATTTAGGGTAATATAGGTCTAATTGTATTCTTACTGTATTAGATTTTTTGTATACGACTGTTTTTACCTGAATAAATAAATAAATAATATAAGTAATCGTTGTAGTTATATAACTCGCGTCATCTAAAAAGAACGCTGGAAGAAAGTGGAGAGGGTATGTTTGCGCATGAGTATACTCGCGCACAAAAGTACTAAGCCTATTATTTTATTTTTCATAGCATTTCGCTCGCGGCTTCATAAATTAGTTATTGGTAGGGACATTGAAAAATATATTAGATAGAATATCATTAAATAGAATTCTATTCATTATTAAAATATGTTTGATTCAGTGCATAATGTTTAATATACTTACAAAAAATTAAATTAATACATTTAATACATTTTTTTATTATTAACTGCATTATTAAAAGACTCTCTCTTTGTAAAACAATATACGTCAAAAACAATTTTTCTCTTTTCTATATATAAAACCATTTCGTAATTAAAAACTTTTGTGTGCGCGATGGTATTTCGAACCAATAGCGCGCCGGCAAGCACGCGGCGCGTGCCCCGCCGCCCCGCGCCCCTCTTCTTACCACCAATTTGACCGATAAATCGCTTCTGCGCAGCTTGACAGCCAGCGTTCTTTTTAGATGACGCGAGTTATACTTAAATAATTATTGGTCGTTGCGACCATAGTCTCGATCACGGTCACCCAGTGCGTGTAAACAAATCTCTTGAAAGTAGAGAGTGTTACCTAAAGTACCTATATAATGTGTATGTAACACTCTGCAACATATACTCGTAAGAAGAAAGTTTGAATTTTAAACTGAAAAACATACTATATAATATATTTATAAATTAAACGCTAGCGCTGAGAGATATTTTCTTTAAAATAAAAATTTACACCGCCAAATATCATGAGCAGAGGAAATATCTTGTTGAAGTACCTATACGTCGATCCTACTGAAAACTTGAAATCCGGAAATTCGCGTCCTTTTAAAGAAAACTAACCGCTCCCTAGATCAGCTCAGAAGCTCTCATCTCATCACAGGAGAAATACTCATTGTCGCTGCAGCGGTTAGTCTAGATATGACTTGTTCGGTATTTTTAGCCAGATATAGGTATTTAAAATTTTGTATTTTTTAAACTTAAAGTTGCCACTATAAATGTAATTAATGCTTTTTCTTTAAAACTACAGCTGTGTCGATGTATGATAAAAAAGTTGAAACAAAAAGAGTCTGAAAGTATCTTATCAAATAAAAGAAAAGGAAATCAGAAAAAAGTTAAAAAATGAAACTTTTTTATTTTGGAATAATAACAATGATAATAATATTATACTTTATTGCGCATCAAACAGCATAAAAATACAATAAAAAAGGATACTTTAAAATTTTAAGTGAGTACTCCACTTTATGGTCAAAGTTTCCGAACTCTTTCCCAGAACATATTGCTCCACTTTGACATTTCATATAATTCAAAAATATTTCAATAAAATTGGCGCGTTAATGCAAAAATAATAAAATTTAATTAGTATTTGCAATAAAGTAACATTTAAAAAAGGAAATTAATAGTTGACATAACTCTTTTTCTTCTACCACTAAAAGAAAGTTAGGACACTAGAGAAGAAAACATGTTTTCGAAAAAGTTGTACACACTTGTGTTTTTACGTACCGAAACACAAATACTACTGGGTTTGAAAAAACGTGGTTTCGGAATAAACAAATGGAACGGTTTCGGCGGCAAAGTAGAGCAAAATGAATCGATTATCGATGCAGCTATACGAGAGTTAAATGAAGAATGCTGTGTTACTGTTAAAAATGAAGACTTAAAAAACATAGGTCACTTAGAATTTACCTTTGAAGGAGACACAGTCATGATGGATGTCAGGGTTTTCTCTGCAACTGTCTACAAAGGAACTCCTACGGAGACTGAGGAAATGGCCCCTAAATGGTTCGACTTAGATAAAATTCCATTTACTGATATGTGGCCAGATGACCGTATTTGGTTCCCATACATGTTAAAAAATAAATTATTTCTTGGTAAATTCCATTATAAAGGATTTGATACAATATTAAATTATAATTTGCAAGAGTTAAAATCCATGGACATACTGTATAAAAACAAATAGGTTTTATTTTTGCAACAAGTGCTGCAAAGAGTTAATTAGTTGTATCATGTATGCAAGTTATTTTGAATTCAGTAAGAATAGGATGTTTGTTTCGCAATTTTGACTTATTTTAATAATTGTTTCTTTGTATAATTTAAAAATGATTAACTTCTTTTTACTATTTTCTTGTGTTTTTATAATGAATATACTTTTGCTGATGTTTAAAAGCAAAGCTTTAGTTTTAAGAATCAGTTGAACAACAGCAGATATCTTTTATAAAGTATAAACTGTTATGTACATAGTAAAAGTAATTCACAATTAAATAATTACTAGCCAGTACTTAAATATGAGATTTTTCAATATATTAGAATTAAAAATATAAACCTGCACTGTTAAACTTTATTTTTAAAGCTCCTAAATTTGTAATTTTACATATCCTGCTTCTCTAAGTGTAGTTTGCCACTGGTTCAATTTCTTATGCAGTATTGCTTTGACCAAAGATCTCATATTAATTTATTGCAGTAATTTAAAAAAAAATTGTTACCGATCTATGATGTGAAGCAGTCATGAAAAATTTTTATTCAATTTTGTACAAGCAGGTTTAAGAAAATTTAATAGTGGCATTGGTATGCCTGCTAACATAAATTACTTGCTCTCAAAAAAATGTAATTTTCTCAGGTTGATTTCCAACCTAATTAAAAATTATTATGATTATTGTTTTAATTCATTCAAAAGCCCTAAAAAAACCACCTAATAAACACCAATATGTCCTCTTGAATTTTTGTCATACCTAAATTGATATAAAAAAATTAAACAAATTATAATCAGTTACTTTTTATTAACAATTGTGAACCAAATAATGTGAATACACTGGAAATACTGTTAACTTTAGAATATAGCTTCACTTGTAACAAACAATCGGTATTGCAACAATAATTTGAGTGAAGAGAGGTAATCTGCCAACATTTTATATTTCTCATACTGATACATCCCACCCATTGTAAACAATTTTCATTTTTCATCTTTAATCAATGGAAGCAAGATATCAAAAACAATTATTTGGCATTATTATTAGATTTAGTCTATAAGAGAACTACAACTAAAATAAAAAAATGTTATTTAGAGGACATTATGTATGTTACCATAAAAACTAATTTACCATGGGCGCCGGGAGGAGGGTGCAAGGGGTTAAACTTGCCAATCAAATTCGTAGCAATGAAGGAAAATATATAGAAAAATTTAAAGAAATAAAATTATGTATGAGTAAAATCCCTGTTTATATTTAGATATCTTCAAAGAAAAGACTATAAATAAGATATTATGAATAAAAATAATAAAGGGTAATATTATCATGGAAATAATTCTGCCACCGCCCATACAATTTACATCCCTCTCAAATACAGTATTTTAATATTAATTGTTGACATAAAAAAATAGCATTTAATTTCATTATTTTATTGCTTTAGGGAAGGCAACGCACTAAAGATGCTCCTTACAAAATACTAGACAGTATAAAATTACAAAAACATATATAGGTCCATCATATGTGAAGCTTTTTTATAAACTTACAATTTTTTCTCAAATACATATATTACCACATATCCATACTAATATTATAAATGCGAAAGTTTGGATGGTTGTTTATTTCCCACCCAATCACGTCAAAACGGCTCAACAGATCTGGATGAAATTTGGCACAGATATAGATTATAGTCTGTAATGGCATAAGTGTTGTAACAAACCCGACTTTGTTTTATATATGTATATAGATAGTACTATAATATACTATTACTATTGGCAGTGATCAGAATATATAAGCTAGCAAACAATCAACTTATGGTGCTCCCACACAGCAGTTAAAAAAATTTCAGTTAACATTACATAACATTTTTTCACACATTTTTTTTAACATTCAGTAACATGTTAACCATAATTGTTAGATATTTTCAAAGCTCCCACACTGATAAAACATGTTGTAAAACATTTAACAACATTTTATAACTGGCCACTGTCGTCCAGTTTTAAGGTTTTCTAAGAAAAGTTACAAATTTATAAATTTCGCTTCAAATTGTTTTGTTAGCAAATGTTAGAAAAGAAAAAAATTAATAAAAAGAAAATATTTAATAACATTGGTCATAAAAAAATTTTTGCGACAAAATATTCACTAACAAATATTTACTAACATTTTTTAACTCCTGTGTGGAAGCACCTTCAGAATCTCCAATGACAAATAACTCACCATTGTTACAAGCGTTTAAGGCACATTATAATTTTTTTCTGTCAAAAAAGTTCTGACGCCCACCGGAAGACAGTCTGCTCATATGTTTTGGTCTTGACCCCACTTACTATCAGAATTCTGACGTGTCTGACGTCCGCTTCTTCCCGGATGCAATCGATCGGACGTCAGAATTTTTTTTCTGATCAGAACGTGGGAGGGCTCTTTCTCTATACATTTTGTACTAGACCCCGCACACTTGTCAGAAATTCGCATCAGTTGTCGAGGCGGAGACCGCGAACTCTGTCAGACTGGCTGAAGCTAGTTCTGATGAGTGTGCGGCGTGGTATCCACGGGCATCAGAAACTGACAGAATTTTTTTTATAATATGCGGCCGGTTATATTAGATTAATGGTTGAAACTGTCATATACAAGGTAATATTAATTTTGGTCCATAAGTTTGTAGAAAAACATATATAAAGCTAGAATACCAGCATGAAAGAACATGACGAAAAGATAAATTAAAATATTATCAATTTCAAAAATTTCCTACACCACAGATCACATAATACTATACTAGTACAGATGCCTCATCCCGTACAAAGAAATTGAGCGCTAATTCGGGCTATTCTTCGGGATGTTTTATTTTGCTTGAAAAGATAAATATGTGCAAATTAACATATGGTAACAATTCATAAAAAGTAAAAGCGCCATATTTGAACATACACTACAAACCCATCATCTGATTGCTGATATTTCAATCAGTAAAATGACGCAAATTTGATTTACGGGCGCATTATTACGTTTCATTTCATTTGGAATATTTTTTAAAACAATAATACACCTTTTTAGAATCTATTTTTTATCTTTTAATTTAACACAACTTTAATAACAAATTGATACATGTAACATCATCTATTGACATTTATTTGAACTAATTTTTGTTTGTTCGTGATGAGAGCCAAAGCCTACATATAGAAATGACATTATTGAAGTGATATAATAAAAATTAATTATGATTATTACTGCTATATTTACGTTAACATCATGTATAAATGTAATGTAAAACATACAATTTAAGAACAACATTCAACCCTTGATTTTTTGACAGAAGAAAATCTTTTTTAAAAAAGGTTTTTAGAAAAGTGCAAAAGATCTGCTATATATTTAACATTACATTAGTTCAAGACTCAACTACAAACAATTTAAATAAAGTATTTGATGTAAAGGCAAAAGACAGCAAGTTATTTTAATCTATACATATAATAAATTCAATAACTTGGTGAAACCTGTACATGAAATATGTTTATAAATAATGACTGAGTTATTAATTTTTTGTTTTCTTTGTTTGTTTATGTACGCGTTTCCAGCAAAAAGTACTGAACCGATTTTAACTAAATTTTGTGTAGTGATAACTTATAACTCGAGTCAGTATTTAGGATACTTGTTACTACAGGAAAATCTTTCATTTCCTTAGGAAAACATTATAACTGATTCCGTTGAATCATCGTCAGAAGTTAATATGGTTGTTGCTGGCTAAACCTTAAGAGATACATCAAAACAATGTACAAGAAAATTGTAGGTCTTAAAAAGGCCTACATAAAAATCTGCAATAAGATGAGTGCTTTCCCTAAGGTACACTCGCAATAACTATTTTTATATATTGAAAACCATTCGAATTTGGCGTAATTGTTATAGGTTTTGGATTTTTGCACTGTAACCAACTCCTAAGTACAAACCCAATACAAACTCCTTTATCTTTCGGTGAAAGTTTCATTACAATTGGTTAAGCTGTTTCAAAAATTACCTCTGACAAACAGAAACAGACAGACAAAATTTAAAAAAGGACTTAGATAGTGGTATCATATAAATTATAAATAATGCTATGTACTTGAGAAAACATACTTATTTAGAAATCACAGACAGACACTTTAATTGTATTTATATGTATATATTACACTTGCAAAATTTTTCCTTTACACTCAAAAAACTTTCCAAGAATACACTTCACTTCACTCAAATCTCTTTTAATGTTTACTAATGTTAATCACTTCACCCGCAGTATCTGCCAGGTCATATATCATCTAGCAAGGCTGTCCGAGCCAAGTTTCTAGCTAGAGCCAGTCGGAGAAGTTCTGCCTTCTCTCCTGCTAGGCACTGGCTGTGGAGCTCTAGCTGAAGCATCAGTTCATATGTATCTTCAGCCGAGAGAACTGGTTCCTCTGTCTCGAGGAGTGGCAGGGTGTCAAGGAGGAGGGTTGGCCAGAAACTGTGAAGAACAGTTAAAAATTATAATTTAGAAATCTAATGGAGCTTGTATGGTTTTAACTTTTAATTTTTTATCTTATTATTCTCATTTAAACATATAATAAAATTCTGAGTGGAATCTATACATTAAATATTTTTCGGAAAATCTTATTAAAATAGACATTATTATCGATACAGAGACTGAATCTGTTGTTTTTAGAATTTTTGTCTGTCTGTCTGTCTGTGACCGCAGCAGGAAAAAGCCACTGGAGGGATTTTGATGAAATTTGGTATGATGATAGCCGGTTATCTGGATCAACACATAGGATACTTTTTACCATGAGAAAATGTCTCATTTCCGAGAAAAATTACAAAAACTGTAATGTAAGAGTATATTAATATGTAAAACATAAGAATTTGTGAAATTGGTTTTTGATCATCTGAATGTTGTTTGTTGTGTGTTTGTTGAAGTTAGAAATGTTTTAGGTACAAAATAATATAACTTCTATATACATATTTATAAGGTAAAATTTCATTACAAAGTGTATAAACACATGTTACTTACTAATCGGGGGCTATGTTAGATGTGATTAAAGACACTAACAGTTTGGCAGCTTTTTTGAACTCTCTATTTTTGTATAATCTGTGGAAATCACAGTATTTTCCTGAAAATAAAGAGATATATAAATTATTTACATCATAACAAAAAAATAAGTTTGCTATATCTATTCTAACAATACTAAGTTTATTGCAATCTCACGCATATCACATTATTAACAGGCTTCAAACCGGAGGGAACAACTAAATGCTGTGTGATTTATCTATGTGTTACAACATACCTTCGAAAGTTGTAAATCAATTGTCATGGCTTATTTAATTAATGATATCTCTCAAACATAGTCTCATAGAAATCTTTTAAAAATATTTTCACCCCAAAGCCACACTTGCTATAAAGCCCGATACCCACTTACGGTTAAGAACAAGTATAAAACAAAACGGTTAATATCGGTAATGTAAATTGTATGTAATGGTTAATTCATCACTCGTTCATTAACCGGTTAATAAAAACAAACGGTTTAGTAAACCAAAGTGACAATAGTTAGTGATTAGACTAAGATTTTGATACCAAAATAAAATCGATTAATTCATTCTTACTTCTACTAAGCAATTCACCATTAGTAAAAATTCGCTAAATGTCACACAAAAACTCATTTAAACGGATTAATTTCGATAAATTCGTCCAAAACCGTTATTCGGGTTTTAACAGGTTAAGAGCGCAACTAAAACCTTAAACCCTTTCGGGGTCAATAACCAAGACCGGTTTAAAAATCGAACGAATTTGAAACCCACCTAACAACAGCAGGGTATCATCAATCAGTAGCGTAGCACCAGCGCTCAGCAGTAGGTCGACCGCGGGCAGGGGCTCCCCCGCGCAGTACGCGCGCAGCGCCACGTGGGCGGCGCGCGCGCACTGCGCCGCGCTGCGCCCGCGCGCCGCCCACGCTAGCGCCGCCCCCGCGCCCGCCGCGCCGCGCGACAGCCGCCGAGACGACATGCACGTTGATATGTTTTGCACTGGAAAATAATATCATCAATCTCTAACTCAATTTGCACGCTTTGAATCCATTACCAAGAATATTGAAATTATAGATTATCGATTTCAATTTTGTCGCGGTTTTCTATTTTCAATGGTTTTTAATTGTTTTTCAAGCGAGCGCGTTACAACTGAAATAAAATAAATTTTATGACATAATTAACAACCAACTCTCTTGTGTATTAGTAAGTGTTTAAATGCAACCTAGTTGTAAGATCATAGTTTATCTATTTATCAAACTTCATCCAAATCCATCCAACCATTTTAGTGTGAAGCAGTTATAAACATAGATGTACAAACTTATACATTAATTATATGTAGTCCATGCTATACTAGTGCAGATACAGAATACCCTGTATTATCAATTATTCAATAGGCTTACTGAAAGCTTACAACAAAACACAACCCCTTTAGCTTTATTAATAATATAATAAAATATAGATTATGAAAATTTTTATCTAAAAAACTTTAAATATTTAAGAAAAAAACATTACTTACCAACACCAAGTAAGCCATACTTCTTTGCCTCTGCAGCCACTCTCATAGCTTTGGCCTCAGTATCTATGGGCATACGTTCTAACAATAACTCAGCCCTCTTCAATCCCTCCGGAGGGCATGACGCCAAGTAAGATAATCCAACGGACCACAGAGATTTGTGTTCTATTAGTAATGAGCCATATTCCAGAATGAGGCTGTCCCGCAGCCGGGTGGTTACACTGAAATGTGGAAGATCAAATGATTAATACTTTTATTAAAAAATATATTTTATAATATGTATTTATAATTAATTTATAATTTAATTAATATTGTCTTGGTAAATTTCAATAAAGTTTGTGATCTAGAAAATCAATAATCATACAAAAATGAAAAAAAGGCTTTCACTTTTTTTCCTATATTCCCACATCAACCTTATTCCAACTCTAAAAACTCGTTAAAAAAAAAGAAATAAAACTTAAAAAAAAAAACAAAAACTACCAATCAGTTATTTTTTACTTCTTAGTGTTCTTTTTTTGAGGTCAGGATTTATTATTTTTTTTAAGTTTTAATTTTTCCATTTTTAATATACACATAGTAAAGAAAATATTTTTTTAAATTCCGTAGGTGATAAATTAATCAACCCTATTTTCTACACTTAGGGGTGGTTTTTTTTTTTTTATTTAAATGGGACCAACTTTGAGGTAAACCCTAACCAATAAAAAAAAGAATCGTCGAAATCGGACTACAGTCAAAATTAAAAATATATATACATAGTACATCAAATTAAGAACCTCCTCCTTTCTTTTCATCAATTAAAAAGTCTGCAGCTGTACATACTAGAGACCTATGAAACTCACTTATTCTGATGTTTGTCCAAAATTTCCAACTTGCCGCAGTGATACAGCATGTCTGTCAAATGTGAAGCAAACCAACCATTGTCAGATACTTGTTGTATTTCGTGGATTACCTGTGAAAAATATAGGAATGTTTTATAATTTGCCAAACTATATCGAAGGGCCTATGCACACAACAACTTAGTGGACGCGCGTTCAACAACCGTCGAACATACTGTCGAGACGCGTTTGTATCGATACGAACGCAAGCATTTGTAAATTTACCAATACAGAATATATGGAGACGATAAACGCAGAATAAAAAAAGTCAACCACGCGTTAATAAGCCCTAACATCAATGGTATAGGTGCGATTCCTGTCCCGTTATATAGTTCTACGCAATTGCATTTGATATTTAACTTCTAAAAAATTAAAAAGCTTGTTTTTATATCATACAAATAAACATAATTAGCAGTCTCGCTTCTTACATGTTATTTCAAATGTATGAGAGCATCATTATTAATTATACTTCTTCTCATACTTACATTCATAAACTGTATTTTATGAATTAATAAAATAATGGGTTGATGACCTATGGATACCCAAAATAAAAACCCAATACTTAACTTACCTGATGTAAATCTCCATCCAGCAGAGCTCTAACCATCACATCTAAATGAGACCGGCCAGACGTCTCCATGCCCGCACATGCGGCACCCGCTGCGCCCAAATCACGTCTTTTTGCCCAAGGCATAGTGAATAGCACCCATCCACCGAGTATGTCAAACCATGAGGTGTAATTTGGTCGGATTAACTCAAATGCTGCATACTCGCCAGTCATTAACTATTAACATTTAATTTATTACATTCTACTAGGTATTTAAATTTATTATGCTCATTAACGTTCTTAACAAGAATTAATACATAAAATTTACAAACATACTATTGTAAAATTTTTAATATTTAATACTCTAAAATCTACAACACCAATGTTTGAAATAAACTAATACTTACATATACTCGTATAAAACAAGACAGCATAAATTTGTAAATTAGAAAAACAGTACAAAAAGAAATCATTTGAAATACAATATCTTACTTAAACATCATAAATTAGTTAATATGAGTAAAATACTCACTCTCATAATAAGTTCCAATTGAGGCTGCTGCATTAAAAGGCGGCTACTAAGTTTTGATCTGCATTCTGCTTGCCAATGCTTCCAGGATATAGTGAATTCCCCTGCAGATATACCACCGTAAACCTAAAATAATTATTATACACACATTATTTAATAGCATAATACCTAGGTTCTTAGTTCTCATTTTATGATATATAAAAAGCATGTTGCCTTTTAAAATATTATGAATAATTTAGATTCTGAAAGTAATGAATAAGAAATATGAAGGATAGAAAATATCATTAATTGTTAACTTCTTTAAATTAAAACAAATGCCATTAACAAGAAATTGAACTGATAAATTAAAATAAATATATATCAAATTATCAATCATATAAACTTACACTATAAACTGGCATGCTTCTCAAAGAATTATCAACTAGCTTAAATTCATTTGAATCAGCAGTGGAGTGTAATTTAAGCAATGCTCTAGCGACATCCACTCTTCCCTGTACTACCATTCCTACAACTGTATCCCAATATTCAGGGTGATCTTCAGAACCCTTCTCACATGCTTCCAGTAACTGAGCTGCAGTCTGCTCATGACATGGAAAGTGAAATCGTACCCATTCTAATAAAAATGGCAGAACAACTTCACCAGGAATGATATCAATAAACAATATTTCACACAAATGCCAAATACATTCTACTGAATAGAAAATAGTTATGTATGAAAATAAAGTGTTCTTTTCTATGCCATCCGTTTCTTTTTGAGCGGCTTCTTGGAGACTCTCAATACAAACTCGGATTATCGAACGATATTGGCGCGAAAGCTTCAGAAATTCGACTTGATTATCTGTAGTTTTCGAAGTCTCTACAAGTTTTTGTAAAGTTAAGAATGTACCATTCGCTTCATTTACAAACTTACGTAAAATTGGAGTAAATAGTACAACACTTTGGCGAATGTTTAAAATCTTGTCGTCAGTTTTATCAGCTGTTTCTGAAACAGTTTTGTTCACATTTTGACTTCTAGGATATACTCCGAATTGGTTACCACGTCTCCATGCTGCGCCAATGCCTTTTTCGAAACATTTATCCGGTAAAGCCTGGAAATTAAAACATAATAAGACAATAATATAACATAACCTAAAGTATCCTTTTTTTCGGTTACTTACAAATGTCTTAACACGTTTTACTGTTTGTGAGCTGTTTATTGCTGATGGACTTGAAGAAAAACTGGAGAAATTCATGATTTAATCGGAACTTAGGAAACAAGAACCTTTAAAATTAACAAGTTCATAACCGTTTATTTTCAACATTCAAGTATTTTTTACTTCGAGTTCGATGCTGTCATGCTTAGCGTTCCTGTCAATGTCAAAATATGCAAAGAAAAATAATTTCATCCAGTATTAAAAATTTAGGAACCACAAAATATTCGAGATGTATAAAATTATTAATTGAAAAATATGATAATAATGAATTTGTTATTTAAATACTACGTAAGTATAAAGTTTATGAAATATTTTCAACAGTATATTTTAACGCAAAATACATAATCTTGCTCTACACACCTTTTAATTTTCAACGAGTAAGGTAATAAATAATTAAATTAAAAAAAAATTAAATTATAAAAAGATATAAATATTAATTTGGATAAAATATTTCATTTAAATGTTTTTATTTCTCATTAATATGCCTTATATAAAAATTATTCTTACTTGACCGGATATAGTGTGGAGGACATGTTGATTTGTCATGAGTGAGGCGATTTTTGTCAATTCGTCAAAAAGTGTTTTGTTTGAATGTAAATTGTACAAAATTAATCAGTAAATCGAGTAATATTGTGTCGTGTAACATGATACTTGTATAATATGTGATAAATATTTATATTGATAAGTCTGAAAAAGGGAATCAATTTTTGTAGGACCATCCGATATATTTGGTAAGTCTTGCGTTAATTTTCATCGTCACTGGCTTTTTATTTGGGGATTCGATGTCTCACCTTTTCATGCACTATTCGGTAGACCTTCACCTCGGCTGAATGCCGAAGTCGAGCGGTATCGATGTGTTGTAATTCGCAAAGAAAACTTTAGGTTGAGTTTGACGTAGCGGTGAACTTGTTGCAAGGAAACAGAAATTAGGCCGTGATTATCTGCTTAGTGTCTATTTGTTTGTGTATTCGCGTGTCGGATGGTTGTGACGTCACATGTGTACGGTTAAAAAATCTTTTGCTATGTGTATCTATGATATGATAAAGTTTATCAACAATTGATAGCTGGTATGATTTAGATTACTGATGAGACATTCAGTTGGTATTCGTGTAGTCAAATTTCAGTTTTCAAGAAAACAGTGCAAAAGGTGTAATATCCAAGCAAATAAAATTTTTTGTAAGTAAATTATTGCTATGAAAGTTTTATTAAAATATTAAAGTGAACTTCTGCTGAAAGTGTACACTTTCTACTTATCATGAGTTTTAGTCTCTGGTAAATGTTATAAAAGATATATACTAGAGCCAGTGTTGCGCTTTCTATATAAATTCAAAAATTAGTAACTCGTAATTCAAAGAAATCTTAATCTACATAAATAATGGTAAATGATAACAATTTTAAATAAATTCTATAAATTTTAAAGGCATACCAGTAAGTCTATTAGAAATTTTATGTCTGTGACACAAACTAATTCTTATTAAATATTACTAAACATAATTAATTTAGCTGATAATTTCCCTATGAGTTGTCACTAAATATCCAACGCACAACTGAGGTGTGAATTGATAATAATTATATTAAAAAAATGTGTCAAATATTTGGTTTTTTTAAGTCAAGATTTCATTATATGACTAGCACCTTACCCTCTCTTCGCTTGAGTGCATACATTTTGATTTTTTTGATTGAAATTTTAAGTCTTTTTCTAAAATAATACTCATAATTCTTTTCCTAAAATAATCCTTAATATGTTATAATATCACATATCTGCCAGTGAAATTCCTGTCAAAATCAGTTCAGCCGTCTCAGAGATTAGGCAGAACAAGCAAAGAGACAGACAGACAAAAAAAAAATTTATCTTTTTATTATATGTACTGTATATCATTTCATATGCATTTAGTAAAAAGCTGTCATTTTGACATTATAAACAGACACTTTAATTATATTTATCAGTATAGATAATTATATTTTGCACACTGCTCTTCTGATAAGTACATTCTTAATTTCTCTCATACAGCTGTAACTACAGTGTTAAGAAGTTGCCAGCATGTTCACTAAGAATATGATAAGGAAAAATGGTTTCTTTATTTATTTAAGCATAGTTGTCTGTGTCATTTTAGAATAGAAAAAAATAAAACTACATGTGATCCATACTGCCATAGACACTTAAACAATAATAATTTTTTTATAACTTTAATTTTGATGTCTAACAAAAATATAAGCTTATTGTTCGATAAGATGTTGATAATTTTTTTTCTGTTTTGATATTTTGGATATATGCAACAAATGATAACCATTATCACAATCAATATTTGTTTATCATTTTATTTAGATAGCTTTGTTCTTTATATTCCTTAAATAAATGGTAAATGGAGTAATAACCTTGTGACTCACAATTATCTTAATTATAAACATAAATAATTTATTTCATTTAGTTACTATTGTTAAACTTTTTGTGGCAAAATATAAACAGCCTAATTAATGCAAGCAAAAGGTTTGTTCTAAATAGCTCTAGCTAATACTTCTAAGTTCTATGAAATTACAAAATATGATTGCATTTTTTTTTAATTAACAAAAGCAGAAATGAAATAATCATTACAGTAATAATATGTTTATTAATTAATTTCATTCACTTCACAATTTATAAAGTAACTAGCGACTGACTCTCACTTCGCTCGAGTTCTTCCCTAGCTTGATTCCTCATACAAACTTTCATCCCTATTTTTACCGCCTTAAAGGATGATTTCTGGGATTAAAAGTATCCTATGTTCTTGCCAGGCTCTCAAACTATCGTCTCACCAAATTTTATCTAAATCGGTTCAGTAGATCCAGAGATTACCCACTACAACATCACAAACTCACAATTCACAAACTTTACCTCTTTACAATATTAGTATAGATATTAATGAATTCCATTTATTTTTTTATTAATAGCTTCAAAGCGTGCCAGTTGAGCACAGATTACTTCTCCAATGTCACATAGAATAGAGATGACAGGAAGGAGATAATGCTCGGTATAAATATAAATGAAAAGTTTATCTTTCTTTCATACAATACAATAAAATTCAATTGTTAATTTTTGTTTAATTTATTTGCAAAAAGCAAAACTATTATAATGTAAAAATATATCTTATATGTTAAGGTTAATCTACAATTACATTAACATGATGAGAGACAATTCAATTATATTTCCTGTTAATACAAAGCTTAAATAAACAAGTATTCAAAGGCTGTTGTGGCCATGGTTGCATCCACAATGCCACTTCCTATTATGCTCACTCATAAATGTCATTTAACTAATTGAACATAAATGGATTCTCTTTAAGTGTCTATGTTTTGTAAAGAAAAACTAATAATAATCTATTCAGATAAATAAAATTGAAGTGTCTGTTTGTAATGTCAAAATAACAGTTTTTTACTGAATGCATATCAAATTTTATTGGCTTATAAAATGACTTTTTTTTTAATGTACTTTCTATCTCTTTATGTAGCTGTGGATTTTAGTTTGAATAAATAAATTAATAAATTACATATAAAGAAAAACTCATTTTTTAAAAGATTTTGTCTGTCTGTCTGTTCTGGCTAATCTCTGAAACGACTGGACTAATTTTGACGGGACTTTCACTGGTAGATAGGGAGCGTTATAAGGAATAACTTAAGCAGACTTTTTATTTAAAAAAAAGAATTAGGATTCCCCTCAAAAAAATTAAAACGCACTCGAGCGAAGCGAGGGTACGTTGCTAGTACAAAATAATAGCAATTTTCCTAAAAAATCCAAATTTGTATTTTTTTTTTAATTTGTATTTAATTGGAAGTGATTTTTTTTGTACTATGAAGTTTTTTCTCAAGAAGATGTTAGTTTAAATTAGGCAAAAAATTATGTTTAATCAGTTATTTATTTAATTGGCATTATTAGATTACTCTCTTATTAGTCAACTAACTGCCTTTACTTTGTTCAAGCATTTCCAAATAATTTTAACTATAGACTATATATTCTTATGTCACTCTTCTAAAAAAATATCTTCGAAGAGTTATGTGAATATTTGACATTAAAAAAAAACTATTTTAAAAAAAATACATGTTTAATTCAGTTCCACGACTACACAAGAAATTCACACAAGCGTTTATCTATACCTACATATAAAAAAAGTGTAACTGATCGCTGTCTGTACTTGGAAGATATTTGAGAAAAAATACGATGGTGGGGCTTTATTAACGCATGAAAACCCAAAACAATGATTTTTAGATTATTTTTATCTGTTTGTCTGTGTGTTTGTGTGCGCTAATCTCAGAAATGGTTTATCCGATTAGGATGCGGTTTTCACTAATGTGTTGTGGTAAACTTCAATTAACATTTTGTATATGTTTTATTTCAATCGGTTCATAAATAATAAAGTTATTTCAATTTAAAGAATCACCTAGTGACGAACCCAAGCGAAGCGAGGGTGAGTCGCTAGTTTATAATATATGTAAGTACCTAGGCTCAAATACCATTATTACCTTCAAAAAATATTTTCATATTAGACGAAAATGTACCTGTTCGTATCACATATAATCGTTAGTCGATAAATTTCGTATTTATAGAAGAACTAACAGAACCCCCCGGCTACGCTCGCGCTAAAACTACAAAAAAATAACTAAAATGGGAGGTTTCATACAAACTTTCAGCCGCTATATTTTACATCTCCCTTATGGGATGAATTTAGAAAAACGCTAAAACAAGTATTTAATTAATTGTATTGAAGAGCCATTTATACCAAGTTTCTAGTAATTCTGATCATAAATATTTTTTTGGATTCTTTTATAATGTGTTTTCTCGTGGGAAAGAGATAATCTCCCGCGGTCTCCACACAAAAAATCACGCCAATCCGCCAAACCGTTTCGACGTGAAAAAAAGACAGACAAAGAAACAAACAAACAAACACACACACACTTTCACATTTATAATATTAGTGTGCTTAAACAAATTATATAGGTAATGGGCAATGAAAATATACATTTTAAGTGTACCACTATGTGGAGCACCGCTAATGTTGGATCGTTAT